GGGAGTGAAAGAGTAAAAATTTTGAAGAACCAAGATATTCAACAATTGGGAACGGGTTAATGCTACATATGAAATACGCATACTAGGCATCCTTTGAAAAGAGTGGGAAGAACACTCATCAGAGAAAGCAATGACATATTGTTAAGCTTTTAAAAGAGTGCAGGGTGGTATGTATAATATAATCCCATATCATTACACAAAAAATGGAGGAGATACAGACATGTGTTTGAATTTGTACAGAAAAAGATCTAAAAAATCAAGGTGCCGAAAGTGGTCTCCTATGGAGAATAGAATGGGGGTATTTTCATTTTTTATTTAAATCTACTTAAAATAAAAGCAATGCAGACATTGATAAAAAAAGAGAGGGCGGGGGACAATCAAGGAAAGATGCCACCTTGGTGGAGAATGAGTCAATCACATGCGCTTTTATTTTTCCGGTGAATTTGTGATTCCTTACAGGTTTATTTAAAATCAGACATGAACTCAGTGCTCTCAAACCAAAGCAGCTTCATTGTATTTTGTGTGGTTTTCTCACTGATATCTGGTAAAACAATGAATAAGAGAGGATGTGTTTGCTTGTTTGGGGGTATAATCAAGTAAAATAGGGTGGAAGGAAAAACCTGCCTGTCTGGTCTGATATGCATAAAACTTTTCAGAATCCCTGATTAAGAAACGATATGCCAGAGACCTTCTATTAGCAGACGAGAATAGGAAAAAAGGCACTAAAAGAGACCTGAGTTCTAATCCACCTGTGCCACTTAGTAACTATACAACATTGGGCATTAACTTCCATCAACATCAGGTCTCTCATCATCAAATGGACATAAGAGACTCTCCTGCCCTGAATGGGTTGGGTGTCATCCTGTGAACCAAAAGGTCTCCAGTTCGATTCCCAGCCAGGGCGCCTGCCTGGGTTGTGGGCCAGGTCCCCACTTGGGGGCGTGCAAGAAGCAACCAATCAATGTTTCTCTCCCTTGCTTTCTCCTTCCCTTAACCTCTCTCTAAAAATAAATAAAATATTTTAAAAAAAATAAGAAAGAAGAAAGAAAGAAAGAAAGAAAGAAAGAAAGAAAGAAAGAAAGAAAGAAAGAGAGAAAGAAAGAAAGAAAGAAAAGGAAAGAGAAGAGAAGGAGAAAGGCGCCCTGACCCCCTGGCAGCGCCGTGAGGGTTTGGAGAGGAACTGCGCAGCCTTCCGCCCAGCACCTCCAGGCACTACAACTGTGGTGTGGGTGGCTGATAAATACCACCCCAAATTTGATTCCATAGATTTCAGTGAATTTTGACTAAAGGGGATGTTCGAAGAATCCATCCAGTTGACTGGCTTCTCTCAATGGAAGATCACTGCCCAGGGAAGAAAACCAAAGCTGTACCCACTGCCAGTGGGCAGAGACATAACCCGGGGCTCCCGAGGCTGGATGCTCCTTCACTGGGGAGAGCCCGGACGGAATCTTGCGTGCACCACACAGAGCTGGCCCCCCAAGGCTGTGAAAAGAAGACGTAGTGGTAAGTCCACTTCAAGCCCCAAGTCTGACCTCTTACTGACTTAGGATTTATCTGCCACCTCCTTCCCTAAAAGATCAGAGGCAGATTACGGTTAAGAGTCACATACTCAGTAGACTAATTTTAAATGAGAAAATAAGAATTGAAGACGTGTAATGAGGGTGAAGCACTCTCTGAGATCGGCTGCAACTGAAAATAAAACTTAGCTCTGGGCATCCGGAATTAAGGCAAAAAGGCAAACTTGCAGACTATCATTAGGCAGAGGAAGAATCACGATCAATCAGGAAAGGCAAATTTTCCTAGAACTAAACTCAACATGTTATAATCAGAAACTGATCCTAGGAAGTTATGCTACTGATTCCCTCCTACCTCCCCAATGCCTGACGTCAGCCCTGGTGCGTTAGCTTCCTCCTCGCAGCTTTGCCCGTTTCCAGCTGTGTGACCCGGAGCCAAAGCCTCACCTCCCTGCGTCTCAGCTTCCTCGTCCTTCATGGGGAATGATGAGTCTACTTATTTATGAAAGGGAATAAAGGAACATTTGCTAGCACTAACTGGGTGCTTGCTAAACATCCCCTCACTGAAACCTCCCAGGACCACATAAGGCAAGCCCTGTAAACGATGCAGATGAGCTGCCTGAGTGTCCGGGAGGTGGAGACGGTTGCCATTGCCACACAGCGGAAATGCGGATGAGCCGCAACTCAACTGCACGCTTCCGCAACGCGGAGGCGAAGTGTAACGGTCCTTTTTCACCTTCCCTGTATAGGTCAAGCAGAGTTCCTGGCACACAGTAGGTACTCAACATATTAATTCTCTTCCTCACTCCTTTTCTCCTCAAGTGTGTGTGTATATACAGGGTGAGGCAAAAGTAGGTTTACCGTTGTTTGTATGGAAAATAAGACAATAATAAATACATAGCAGTACAAGAATAAACTGTTTCACATACATCTGTGAACCTATTTTTGCCTCACCTTGTGTGTGTGTTTTATATATATATATACATAATTCAAAGTATACTAAAATAACATGAATAGATTTATGTAGCTTCTTTCCTCTAAGGAGATCATACTCCTTAATCTATTTTTTCTACTAATCTCACCAAATCGCTATCATTATTACTTTACTTATTTTACAAATAAGGAACCAGAAGGCAGCAAGCTGCTAGGGTGACATGCCCAGAATCAAATAGAAGTCACTGCCAAAACCAAATATAAACCTTGGTCCTTTTTTCGTCTAAATCAACCTTTATCCTCTCACATGACACAGCCTCCATAATAAAGAACAGATCATTCATTTTTTATCTGGAAAACTACCAAACGTACAATTCAGTAAGGGGCCTCCTGACCTTCCCACCTTGTCAAAGGGAAGAAAGTATATAAAAAATGAGGTTTGCAGGAGCAGACGGTTTTGGTCCGTCAACTTTCTCTTGGATTACGCCCATTAGCTCACATAAAATAATGTGAAATATAATGTAACAGATCCCCAGGTCTTTGGAAACTCAAGTTAAACTCACTGATCCTTCAGGCTTACACACACTGCACCACCGGCGATCGTAAGGTCCTATGGGGCTGCAGAGGTGCACGTTATGTGAACTAGATCTTCGGAGGAAAAATAGGGCACGCAATCAGGCCACTCTGAGAGGAACCGAGGCCAGCAACGAGCGTTGAGCAGTGTAAGTCCACAGCCTGACAGAACTGAGGAGCTCCATGAGGGACCTGGCAGACCGCTCGCTGAGAGCGGCCCCCTCATCTGGTGCAGGAGCAAACCGAGGCTCACGGAGGTTAAGCGGCTTTTTTCCAAGATTTCAGACAGGAGAGCAAGCACTAAAAAATAAACCTGCCGACTACTATCCATTCCACTTGCAAATCTTGCTTCTACTGTTCATGAGTATACTTATCACTTTGCAGGATTCTGCATCTGTTCAGGGAGTACAGGAAAAAGAGCCTGCACACTGGTAACAGAACACTCAGGATTCAAATCCTGACTGCCACTTACTGACCATGTGATCTTGGGAAAGTCCCTTAATTTCTGTGAATGTAAATTGTTTCTTCTATAAATTGTGGGTATAGTAAGTTCCACAAGTAAGCCGCAGGTAATATAAACAAAGGTATCGCCTGTGAGCTCCAGGAAGGCGAACCTCAGGTCTGTACACCTCAGCACCCAGCACTGGGCCTGGAGCGTGACACTTCTGCAGAGAGTCTGCTGAGAAAATCAGCAAACTAACCAAGCAAACAGGTCCTGGACAGGTCTACTTGGTTCTTAAACACTAGGCTATAGTGCTTCCAATTCATAGGATTTCAAGGCAGAGGATTGATGCTACCTTGCAGAGTACCGAGGACACAATGGAGTAAGATGGCCATTTTCTGGTCATAAAGCAGGAAAAAAGCTCAGCGGGGGATGTTCCTGATCTCTCAGGTTTGGGATTAATGCTTGTTGTTAACACAGGTGTATCTTGAGGCTTTAGAATTCACTAACCCTGGGTCTAGTTCCCAGCTACAGTACTTTACAGCCTCTCCGCATCACTGCTCTTGCACTGTGGGGCCGCTATCAAGTAAAATAAAGGTGACCTGAACACAAGTACTTTGATGCCATGGCAGTCAATCCAATAACCCCGAGAGCCACTACGTGACTAAGGGGCAGGTAACATTCACAGCACGGACACACTGGACGAAGGGATGGTTCACGTCCCAGGCGGGATGGAGCGGGTGGCTTGAGATTTAATCACACAGGTCAGAATGGCACACAACTTAAAACTTATGATTTCTTTATTCCTGAACTTTTCCATCTAATATTTTTGGACCACAGCTGACAGTGGGTAAAAAATGCAGAAAGCAAAACCATGGATATGGAGGCGGGGGGCTACTGTATACTTTTATTCATTTAAAAGTCTAAGTTCTATATATTTATATAATTAACAATATTCTGTTCTTATACATCAATGTTTTCTTCAACAAGCAAGGACTAATGCAAAAACAACTGTTTAAGAAACATGGATTCAAGACTACAAGTATCGAGATCTTTTCTGTCTTGGGACCTTAGTCCAGGCACTTCCCTCTGCCTGAGAAGTCCTTTGCCAAGAATGACCCTTCCTCATCAGCAGGGGGTGATTCCTCAAAGGGCCCTCCCAGGCTAACATCATCCCCGCCACTACTGCCCCCAGCAAGTCCCTCTCTACTGGGTCTCACTGCCTTTCCCTTCCATGTAGCATTTCATTATCTGGAATGGCTTTATCTATTTATGGGTCCCATCTTCCCCAGCAGAATGCAAACTAACGAGGACAAGGTCTTTGTCGGGTTGACTGCTGCATCTTCAGGCCCTAGTACACAGGAGGTACTCAGTAAGTATTTCTGAGTCAGCAAACTGGACCTCAAAAGATGTTCGAACTTGCCAGGATGTGAAGTACAGGTAAAGCACGCTGTCAGCTAACAGTCTCATGGGGTTGGTTTCCTTCCAAGAACAACTTCCCCACTCCATCAAAATACATAAATTTCAGCCAAACTTACTTGGGAATGGGTACCCGAATTAGCGTCCCTTCCATTTCTGGGTTCAGATTCATTCCACTTTCTCTTATAGCCTTGATAGCTGCAGCTGTACACTGAAAACCAGATCAAAAGGTAAACAGAATTAGTAAATAATTATTACCAGATGCAAGCCCTCTGTCGATAACTGGCAACCCATCTTGGCAGAACATGGAAACATTTAGTTCTGTTACCAGTAAGATCAGGAAGTTACATTGGTGCAGAGTGCTTTGATCAAGCAGAATAGCAAACTATGTCCACTCCTGGTACCAGTGTACTGCGGGAGGAAAAAAAGCAAAGAGAAGGAAAAAATAAAAAGAAAACAGCTCTGCTTCTTTGAAAAGATTTCAATGGTTTGAGGCAAGACAGATCAAAACCACAATAAATCCTCAAGGGAGGGGGGCTGGTCTGTGCAAAGATTGGTGTAAAGACAGATGAAAGATTTTATACATTAAAAATTCCAGTTGACATTTTACACTCAAAATATACCAGTGCCGATTTGGAATGAGTAAATAAATTTAACTCATTCGTATCTACACTCACAGCACCCTCATTCACATTCTAGAACAAGCAATGACTCTCTGCTGGGGTGCGCTCCAGGAAAGGCAGAATGGTACACGGGCTAAAAGCATGCACTCTGGAGTCAGGAAGATCTCAGTTCAAATCCCAGCCCTGCTGATGACCTGACCCTGGGCAAGGAGCCTGACCTCTCTGAGCTTCCATTTCATCATCTGAGACCACATGGTACGTACACCTCAGAAGGGACTGAATGATGTGGCATCAGCAATGCATCTTCTCTGTATCTGGTCCACACAGGAACACCCGGGGACGTTATTATATGCATATAGTATACAAAGGTAAGGACGTGCACAACCCCCAAACAAGGCCGAGATGATGTCACCACTTAGCGGATGCACTGCCGTCCTGCCTGTCATCCCCCAGAGTCTTCCCTGACACAGTCCTGTGCTCTAATGTGCCAAGCTATGCACTGGCACATTGATTTCCCACAGCACCACGCCCCTCCTCAAGCGACACTGTAACCACACCTGGTATGCAATCCTAAAGGATAAGATAGCAGCGCGGGAGGGAGATACTTCCCTTGGCATGACGGAATTCATAAAAATGAGGCCACTGACATTTTCCAAAAAATCCTAGTTTTGACTGGAGTCAATCCACATCACTTGGCTTCGCGGGGCCAACTCTCAGCCTTGAGCTCCTCCCCAGGCTTCTGGTTCAAAGAACGGGGTTTGTGGCTGGTCTGGTTTACTTTTCCGGGGCTTGTTTTGGTTTTTGAGGGACTGCCTAAGAAATCTTATCTATTACATTTTCTACATGGCCTTAATTCTACAAGGACATGAGGGGAAACCATAAGGTCAAAAGATAAACCAGAACTTTCACAGGCTGATGAATCATTTCCTTGGGTGGCTGTACACAGAACCCAACAGTGTGGCCACTGCTGAAAACAGTGAATTCTTTAAATGGTACCTTTGACCACAGACTATTGGGGTGGGAAGGGATCTGTGACATACCAAGCACAGTCCCTTCCCTATGGATACAGGGATCTGCCGGGTAAGGTCGCACCCCTCAGCACAAATGGTCTTTCCGGAGGGCCCGGAGCCGGGCGGCGAGCGCCTCGCCCGCCACACTTGCACTTGCTGGCAGCGTGAGGTGGAGACACCGGCCTACTCAGCTCGCGGTCCAGTGATGTCACTCTGTCTGCACACTCTTCTCAATGCCCTAGCTCCATGTACTTAGTCACCGTGGCACAGAGGGGGTGATTTTTTTTTTAATAGCCAAAAATAATTTGGAATTAGATCTGGTGTAGTAAGGCTTTGGCCAAGGTAAATAAAAGAGCGAGATAAAGAAATGAAATATGCCTCTGCAGGAGAACAGCTGTTTTCCTTAATAAAACGAAACACAGGTTTTCTACAGTTAACAATGAAGAGAGAATCTTTGAAGAGAAGGCCCGATCTCAAGTCTCCCAATCCTCCCCTTCTGATGCCTCTCACTGAAGGACCATAACTCGTTGCGGTAACACCCTACCACCATCCCATCCTTTCTCAGCCGGACCCGAACGTTTCCATACAACCTTCCCCTGCGGGCACCAACTGCTGACACCAAGCTGGCCAGTCACTATCTCTCAATATTTACATCTTCTCAATACAAGGCTCAGAGTCAGGCACGCAGTAAAGTGCTCTGTAAAAGGCTGATGAATGAGTATACTAGTAAACAGACTCAGGCCTATTAGAAAAACTCATCTACTTACTTTTACTTTATACATATAACCCCCCAAAACCTTACTTTATACTTTACTTGTTCTGTACCCTCTCATATGCAGAAAAAAATGTAAATCAGGAGAGGTTTCATTTTGCACAGAAACCTACTAGAAGAGGTAGTTCTAAAATATTCTAAATATGTATACTTTAGTTTGATGTGGTAGGATGCAGAGACTCAGAGAATTACAGTCATTTTCCCAACATGACTTCTGAACTACTCATGGCTCAGATAAAAAGGCTTGTATTCCTATCTCATTTCCATCTTTTTTTTTTAATCCTCACCCAAGGATGTATTTATTGATTTTAGAGAGAGGAAGGGAGAGAGACAGAGAGAAACATGGGTGTGAGAGAGAAACATCAGTCGATTGCCTTCAGTACACACCCTGACCTGGGATCAAACCTGCAACCTAGGTATCTGCCCTGACCGGGAATTGAACCCGTTTGGGTTTTTTTTTTGGCGGGGGGGGGGGGGGGGAGGGTGGTGTATGGGCGATGCTCCAACCAACTGAGCCACTGGCCAGAGTGCGTATTTCCATCTTTTATCTTAGCCTTTGTCCCTCATGGAAGGGATGCTCACCAGTACCCCAGGGCAAATAAGCTGTTCTCCAAAGCCAACACACCCACTGGTTTGGCTGCCTGCAGTGCTGTGTTAAGAAAGATCACAGACCCCATCTGGGGTCAAGCAGGAAAGGGTGTTGTCATCAGTCATCAATTAGCAATGTCTGCTCTTGCCATTCTTAAGTTAATCTATGCTAAGGGACAAAAGATGATAAAACTTTTGTAGACAGGTGAACAAGTCCTTGACCCTTTGGGTTCGGGTCAACTTGGTTAGTGCCGTTTCAATCAATGGCTGGCCTTCAATTTTCTTTATATCTCAGAGTCTCTAGAATGTAAGGTCTATGAAAGTAGGAACCTTATTTGTCTTAATCATCAGTGAATTCCAGCACCTCAAATGAAACCTAATAACTTGCAGGGACTCAAAAAATATTTGCTGAATGAGTGGTAAAAGGAGCACAGGCGTCCCTGTCACACAGATCTACGTTCAAATCTTGGTTCTGTGACAATGGTGTGAACGTACAGGAGGTGTTTTACTTCTCTGAGCCTCAGCTGTCTCATCCGTAAAATGGAACAAATAATCCTTAATTTTAGAGAGTACCTGTGTTGGTCACTTGAAACAAAACATGAGAAAGCAGTGCCCGGCAGCACTACTGACACTCAGTACCCACGAGCTTCCTTCCTTCCACAAGGGAAATAACGGAGACTGCAATTTTTCTTTTTCATTTGCCTTGTTCAAATCATGCTGCGGTTTTTACTCCCTTCTTTTCTTTCCCATCATTAACTCTAGCTGCAGGCAAGTTTATGAAAAGCAGCAACTATGTGTATCATTTATCAAGCAGGACACATGTTAAACAAATGCAACACAGTTTTCTGCCTTCAGTGCATTTGAAAAGATTATGCATGTAAATCTGCATCACGTCCCCACAGCATGACACAGAAACGCGCAGGTCTGGAAAGAAAGCCAACGGCATGTGCAACAGAAAGGAATTACATAAACACAGAGCATTAGCTCAGCATTTGAAGCTATGAACCTGGGTACTCTATGGACAGCTTCTAAAGTGGAGGAAGGAAATGTTTAGTTAAGACTATTTGTTTAATACATACACCAGATGAGATAAAGGAATTCAAAAGACAATGTAACTCACACTTCCTCATTCTGTCCTTGTAAAGAGCCTCTCTACTGAGATGCTAGTAAAGGTTTTTTTTTTCTTTTTTTTCATCTTCTTCTAAACCCACAGAATTTCAACTTGGATAGATGGCAAAGATGCCTTGGTTGAAAAATGAAGATATACTCCAACTTCCTAAGAAAAAATTAAGCTGTTAATATCTCCTCCTGCCTCCTAAGATGTGCTGGTGGCCAATCAGGTGCTTCTTCTGTGAATGCCATTTGCTATTTAATAACAGAAGTGGCTGCCTCTGAAAAGCAATCTGCCTGATGAAGTCTTCAAGCTGTGTAATTAGGAGGCTATTCCCTAAATTGGCCTGCAGTGCCTATGGGATTAGATGAACCAGGCGGAGAGGCCCCAGCAGTACAGAGGGGCCAGAAAGGGAGAGGGGTGACAGTTCCCCTTCCGTCCATTGCTCAGCTCCTCAGTAACACCAGGAATGAGAGCCTCCCTTCCATCAACCTAACAACAAGCATTCATCCATTTGAGGAAGATTTACTGAGCGCTTCCACGTGCCAGGCACTGTTTTAGGTGCTCCACACAATGAGCAAGTTGAGATCCGATTCCTGCATTCCAAGCTCACAATCCAGTGACAGTGAGGTGGAAAATAAAGATGTAAGTATACGTATAACTATTAATAATGGCACAAGCAGCGAAGAAAAGAACTGTGCTCAGAAGCGAGGTTAGCGTGGAGGGATGATTTCGGTTGGGTAGATGACGGGAGCCTTTCCTGGGAAAGCGACGTTTAACCTATGACCCAACTGATGTCACCCCAATCAATTCAACAAAAATATAAATAAGTAAAAACAAAAAATAAAAAAATAAGTGGCAAATAGACAGATAGATAGATAGCAACTAGCCAGGCAAGAGTGTTCCAAGCAAAGGGAAGGGCACATGCGAAGCCCTAAGGATGCAAAGAACGTGGAGTGTTTGAGGGACTGAAAGACCAGCGCGGCCAGGGCAGTGTGCAAGGGTGCCAGCGGCACAGGACTAGAGACATTGGGACACACAGGCAGGGGCCACATCATACCAAGCCTTCTAAGCCGCAGTAATTTTTTCTTACTTGGCCCTGGCCTGTGTGGCTGAATTGGTTAGAGTGTCATCCGATAAACTGAAAGGTCGTGGGTTTAATTCCCAGTTAGGGCACATACCTAGGTTGTGGGTTCGGTCCCCGGTGGGGGTGCATATGAGAGGTTACCAATTGGTATTTCTCTCTCACATTGAGGTTTCTCTCCCGTTCTCTCTCTCGCTCCCTTCCCCCTCTCTCTAAAATCAACAAGCATGTCCTCGGGTAAGGGTGAAAAAAAGAAAAAGATTACTTGAAGCCACTGGTAAATGTAAAGCATGAGAATGACATAATCCAATGTATATTTTTAAAAGTTCACTCTGGCTGCAGTACGGAAAATGGAATGGGGGCCTATGCCTGGCACATTAGCTACAACAGCCCTCTGATTTGGAAGTGTTCATAGCAAGGGCTTTTCCTTACTCATATCTCTAATCCAGTGTGTCAAATCGAGCAGGTTCACCTTTGGTCTGTCTTTGGGACAGACACACTGAAACAGACAATGGGAAAAGGAAGGGACTTCAGATTCTTTCATCTCCTATTAACAAATGAGGAAATGGAAGCCCAGAGAGTGAAGCAAGGTCAAACAGCCAGCTGGCAGTAGAGATGGGACCTGGTTCCGGGTCCCCTAGGACTCCCAATCCAGGTTAATTCCCCTGGACCAATAAAAGAAAAGCCTACTGTCTTCCTCACCTAGGCTTAAAAGCACAGCCCCAGGATTGCAACAATCTAATGCAACCCACCGTCAGCCTTGGAAGCACAGCACTCTGCGCAATATTCTGCAACTGTCAGTCCAGTTTGAAAAGAGCGCAACTTCCTGGAGGATCTGCTCCAAACACTAATGCAGGGTCACAAACTGGTGGCTCATTATGTTTTTTTTTCTCATAATCTTTTTTAAAAAGTGAGTTAGTCATCAATATTTTACAAGGATCTTACATAAAAATTTGGATTATGGGCTTCTTCTGGACATAAAAATCAAGATCTGGTGACACTGGCGATGCCCAGCAAGAGCTGGGCAGAGGCCGCTCCCTTGAGACAGGGCCCAGGCTCCCCGGTTTACCAGGGCGCCCCGAGCCCCGCCAGGCTGGCCAGGCACCAGTCACCCGATGCCATTATTGTTCTCTCAGATGGGGCCTGTTTCAGTATTCAAATTACTTGCCTGGCTTCTATAGTGTTTGAGTTCAACAGAAAAGGAATTTGGAAACAGGCAAGAGCTTTTCCTTACCCCTAAGTTCCCTTTATTATGCCTTGTCTCTTGTTTCATCCCAAGTGCTCTCCTGACTTGACCCAGCCTCCTCCACTTCAAAAGAGGCCATGAATAAGGACCCTTTTAGTGAGGCCATCTTACCTCTGGGAAGCTGGCCATGTTCACCAAAATCAGCTGCGGCGACTTCATGGAGATCTGGCCAATCTGGTTTAAAGCAAAGTTCCCGTCAGCAGTTACCACAGTGATGTGATCGAGGGATCCTAAAAAAAGTGATAGGATCTTAGAATTCAGAACGACCTAGTACCCCCACATCTAAGTCCCTATCTAATTCAGAGGAGCTAATATTTAGGGGCCCCTTATCAATGTGGCAAGACTATTCATGGGGCTTCCATAGGCACACAGTGTCATGTGACGGAAAGAGATGTTGACATGTTGACAGAAAGAGGCTGGAATTCCTTACCCACAACCGTGGTGGCCAGCCTTCCTGGTTCGCCTGTGCCCGGGGCCTTCCAGAGTCACAGGACTTTGAGAGCTACAACTGGAAAGAGCTGGTCACTGCTACTTTGCCATTTATTAACCATGAAACCTCAGACAAGTTTACTTACCTTCTCTACACCTTGGTTTCCAGATCAGTCAAAAAATAACTACCTTACAGGATTAAAATGAGGGTTATAGCTAAAAATAAACAACCATGTATATAAGCACCAAAACATAAGCATAAAAAAGGAAGCTCTTACTAACCCCTTAAGGTCAGGTGTGCTTAGCTCTAACTCCAGTCGAGGTTCTTTCCCTTATTTGAGTACCAGTGGACTCAAATTTGGCAGTGCATCAGAATCGCCAGGGAGCTTTTTAATTTAGATTTCTGGGCCCTGCCCCCAGAGATCCCAACTCTATAGGCTTCTTGGGAGCCTGTGATTTGGGAGGAGCCTATCTATCTATCTATATATATTTTTTAAAAGATCACCACATGATTCTGACACACAACCACGTTTGAAGCCATTTCATTATACCACCCACCTTGATTTTGGTACTTAGACCCCCTTTAGAAAAAATAGACACACACCAACTATTAACACTTAACTGTTACCCCGGATCTGATCTTCATCCATATCTGAGTTCTAGAAAACTTTGGGCAAAATTTTCAGAAACTCAACAAAGCAAGCAAATAAAGCCACAGTTACAGGCAGAAAAGGGGCATTATTTAAAATCCCTGATTTTCCATTCAAACGAGAACTAGAGGAAAAATCTTAACTATTAACAGTAAGAACCACTCATGGATGCCTCATTCTGAGACACAGAGAGGAAGGAGGTGTTGGGGGAATGGAGTCTTTTAAACAAATGGGGAGGTTGTCCCAGCAAACTGCTGATAGCATAATGCTGTGGCCCAAAGATCTGATCAGAAGTACTCAACCAGATTCAACATCATCAGAACAAGAAGGTGGCTGAGAGCCCTGGCTTCAACCCGGAAAAGCCCCCAGAGATATAAGAGTGAGAGTTTTCTTGAGTCTAAGACAAATGTTCTGGGTTCAAATGCCAACTCCACCACCTCCTGATGGTGAGACCCTGGGCAGATCCCTTCATCCTTTGGGCTATCTGTTTCCTGGTCTCTACACAGAGCATAAAAATTGTACTCATCTCATAGGGCTGTTATGAGAATTAAATGAAAGAGTTTATGAAAAGCACTTATAACTGTATCCTGGCATATCTAAGTGCCCAATAAATGAGGATTTTTTTTTTTATCACTTCTTGACTTTCTCCTATGTTTTAACCAAACTAATCTATTTACAATGTCTCTAATATAGTCTGCTCTTTCTGGCCTCACAACCTTTAGCATATATTTTTTCTTTCTACTGAGAATGCCCTTGTCTGTTCAGATAACTCCTGCTCATTTTTAAACACTCAATTATAATAGTGTCTAATCTTGGAAATCTCACCTGACCTCCTAGGCTCGATTACAAATCCCCTTATGGGCTTCCAAACATCCTATGCAGACTTCTATAGTAATGATAATCAGTATTTGCTCAGCACCTCTTATGAGGAAGACATTGTGCTAAATGCATCTATAGTTTATCTGCTTTCATTATCACAATAACCCTGAGATAGTTCCGTCATTTTACAGATGGGGAAACGGAGGCACAGAGAGTAACTTGCTCAAGGTCACAAGAAACCTTAATAATAGAGCTGGAATTCAAACCCAGTTCTGACCAACTCCAAAGCTAAGGTCTTTCCCACTCTGATCTACTGTGAGTTTGTACATTTTGGTTTACGTCTATCCCTTCACATTAGGCTCTAGTCTCTGCGAAGGTGGGGAGAATTCTTTTCCCTATCTACATACCTATTAACCAGCATACAATGAGTGCTCAGTAATGCTTTGACGATAAATGAATGTATGTGTGGATGGGTGAGTGAGGGAGGGCAAGAAGAGACAAGCGAATAAACCCGTATCGTAGACAACTATTAAAAACAATCAACTACCTTGGAGATAGAAACTGTTGGAAGACAGAGGGAGGTGTAAGAAGAAAAGTGCCTGCTGGTTCAGATAGTAATGAAAGATGATATGGAAGAATCTAGCTGAAAAAAGACTGGCTACATTCAGCCTGGTTCACCCAGTCTCTCCATGGCTCCAGGTCCTACGTAAAATGTTACACAAACAAGACCCTAAGAGAAAGAAGCAAAGGGGAAATACCGGTGGGAGGCCTTTTGAAAATGGACCTTAAGGCAGCTTTCCGGGGCTGCCTGAGCTGCCCTGCCACGGGAGCCCCCACACAGGCTCCCCAGTGCGTGACGCGGCGCCCCCACTGCCTACGCCCGCATCGACGGAACGCATCAAATCCTTTTCCCTCAATCTGTCCCCGGTGAGAATCTCCCTCAGCCTCATTCCTGCCCCTCATTTTCTCAGAGGTTAACTTTTAACAAATTACACTCCCAACCTCTTTCCAGGCCCATCGTCTCTTTAAGTTCAACGAGAGTGGAGCTTGCTGGCTAATTTTAAGGATCACATTTCTCCCTGAGCTCCTCTCAAACTACTCTCTGGTTTCGGCTACAGAATGTTAACAGGCCAGAAGGCACAGGGGAGACAAAGCACTTTATCAGTTTCATACCTAAAATAATAAGCAAGTTTAAAATAAACAGTTGGGAGAGATTGAATGGCACGCTCTACTGTCAGCAAAAGCTGAAATGCCCCAGTCTAAAAGTTGACAAATGACGGAATGGTCTTCTGGTTTCACACTGGATCTTGTCTCTGAACTCAGTATGTTTCTGCTGGTGTTTATAAATGGAGCCGTGTATTTTTCACTTGGTTTTCTTAAGAACAAGTTCTTGAAATATTCTCTAGTTTCCTTATGAACTATCCAAACCAAGATGTGAGTGGGAACAACCCAAGCTCCCACAGATACCTTCAGAGGGGGTCCCAGGCTTGACTCTAGTATGATGACAATCTCCAAAAGGCCAATTTAACAGCAATTGGATTTTTCCTGCCTGCCTGCACCATTAGCTGACAACCCACTTCTTCCATCACATCTGCAAACAGTTCTCCTAGACAGTTCTGACATTTCCCACTTAGAAAAGCCTCTTTCAGGAAGTTATTAACCCAAACGTAATCTTCCTGGTCAAGCTCAGGGGTACAGAAATGCCTCAGGTGGGCAGGTTTGCAGTCAGTTGGTTCCCGGTAAGGGATGAGACTGGCAAAATAGGATGAACTGAAAAATCAGACTGAAGATGTCAGTTACTATGAGGCTAAATACCTAGAAGCATATGTAATGTTTCTTACAGTCATAATAAAACTCCGAATTTTTGAGAGGAATCGCACGAGAGCAAGACCATGCCTGTTTTTGTCCACCACTGTGTGCCGCCACGACGCCTATCTCAGAGTAGACGACTATTTGCTGAATGGATAAAGCGATGTTAACTATAGGCCAGCCACCTGCTAGAACCGTTTCATATGTTAACTCACTTATTTCAAGACCCACCCCGAAGCTATCAAGTAGGAATCAGACAAGGGAACTGAGGACCAGAAAAGTACAGTAACTGCCCGTGGTTGCCAAGTTAGTCAGTGTCACAGCCGGCACTGAAACGCAGCTCTGCCACAGCCCCGACCGTCCCACTGCGCCCGTCTCCGAAATCCTGGTTCAGCCACCAACCTGGTGCAGTCCTTATGTTGACCGTCTTGGTGAAATTATCCTTGAGTGCTTCCAACACAGACTTCATTTCTTCTTCCACCTCTTCCAGCCTGATTATATCCTCAACCAAGGCAGTGTTAAGATTCACTCTGGTTTGGGACTGTCCTTTCCCTTTGGCTAGAAAGTCAACATTCAATGAATAAAAGAACAGCAGACAATAAACAATCAGTGAAGAAGTGCCTATTATGTGCAGAGCAAAATTCCAAGTGCTGGAAAATTATAGAATGTTACCGCCGCCCTATAAAAAAGCCTACATCTACTGAGTGTCTACTAGAGACCCAGCACTGCGCTCAACATTTTCTCAGATACTAGGGAAGGCACAGAGCTTATAAAGAGATACCCCAGGTGAAAATCCTGGCTATGATGCAAGCGAGCCTAATGACCTTGGGCACGAGACTACTTTTCTGAGTGTCAGGTTCCTTACCTGGAAAACAGGGATAATACCTATATTGCTACATTGCTACATGGATACAAATTAAGTAATTCAGCTACCCAAAAGAACACTGTCCACATGGCAGGCACCCCACAAGTAAATTAATTCCTTATTTTTCAGAAAAATAAACAGAAGATGAGAAAGGCACAGTGACTTGCCTAATGTCGCAACGTCATGAAAGAGTAAAACCAAGGTGTGGTTCCAGATCTCTCTAATTCTAAACCCATGAACTTTTCATTAGGCTGCCTCTGTAAAATCTAATTGGGGATACAGGGAATACAAAACAGGAAGGAAATGAATACTAAGACAAGGATATGCAAAGTATGGGATGGCTGATGCAGACAAACAGAACAACAGTAGTTCAGAAACATTAAACACTACTAGTGGTAGTGACATTGGCCTATACTGTATTTTGGAAAATTAATAGCATTAGAAGCTAAACAAAACTGTTTTATGTCTAAACCATCATGGCAACTTTTCATATGCATTCTGTAATGTGCATGCACACAGATAACTCCGGTGAGTAACACAAATATTCTTGCCTATCTTCATGGAGGGTAGGGGAAGGAGAAAAAAGAAAAATATTTAAATAATATCCTATGTTTGTTTATTAAATACTCAACAAATATTTATTGAAATTCATTCACAACAAAGGTCATTGAACATCTTATAGTGAGCTAGATCCTGTGCTATTTGCATGGCATATTATAATTTACAATGCAAGTTTAAATACATTCTTCTATTAGACATTCAAAGCAGCTTTGAGGTAGGAAGAATAGAGATCACAATTGTTCCCATTGTGCAGATGAGAAATCTAAGGCACAGCCATTCAAATGTTTTGCCCAAAGTAACCAACTAGTAAGCAGCCAAGTGACTTTTTTTAACTTTTATTTGCTTGTGTCACCATCATGCTTAAAACCTCATTGCTCTTAACAGGCTAATGACAGAGTTTTCAGAACCAGTGAAAGATGTAAATCTTCAGACTCAGAAACACAAGTTCCAAAGAGGATAATAAAAGTAAATTCGTACTCAGATGCTTGTGAATGCAGAAAACCAAGGGCAAAGAGATCTGAGAAACAACAAACAAGACAAATAACCCATAAAGAATCAAAGTTTAGCACAATAGCATACTTTCCAAGAGCAGCAATGGAAGCCAAAAAAAATAATAAAAATAATGTTTTCAATTTCAGATTTTTTAAACCAAGTATTCATGTTAAAAATCTGCAGGTAAAGAACCTGACACAAAAGACACCCTAAAGTAAAAAGCTAAGTAAATACTTGTAACACATGCAGTCAACAAAGGATTAGCATTCCTAGTATAAAAAGAAATCAATAAAACCAAAAGAAAGTCAAACCGACTTTTTAAAAAGGCAATCGAAGACAAAAGCTAACTAGCCAATTAAATATGAAAAGATGCTGCTCACGTGCTATAGCTAACACGTAACTATATGTATGTATGCTGTGGGCATCAGCAGCCCCCGGCCTCCAGCTCTGCCACTAATGGGATAGGACCACGGGCCAATGCCTCACATGCGTAGCTCACACTTCCTCATTTGCAAAATGGTGAGACCTGGGCTTCACTAGATAATTTTAAGAATTTCTTCACTGGATAATTATAGTTCCTTCAAAGGATAATTGTTAAGGATTAAATTATTAAATGTGGGTGAATTCTTAAAAAATTTACAACATACAAATCAAAAGTTATTACTGTTGTCACTATTAACAGAATATAAGTCTTCTGTACGTTAATAATCTTTCAGCAACTTGTTAATTTTCCCGTTAACAGAAAAGGGAAGGTCTACATGACACCATAAAAAGGAAAGTCAGCAGAAAAATCATTCGGCAGCATATTTCTAGCACCATCCTTAGGAGTGGACTCCGTGACCCACCACTGCAAATAGCAGGTCTGCTTGACAATTTTCTGTCACTCATTTATTCAACAAAAATTTTTGATACATACTATGTATCAGGTCCTGTTAGATGCTAACCAAGAAAAACAGAGACCCGACCCTATTGGGTTCAGCATGGAAGACATATAACAAACAATAATCAAACCTACAATGAATTAACTAATTAATGAGTGCTACGCTAAGTACATCAAAGGTAAAATAACAGTGCGCACAAGTGCATGTAACAAGGGACTTGACCCAGTCTAAGAGGTCAGGGAAGGCTTCCCTGAGGAAGCGACATTTAAGCTGAGATCTGGGGTATATCAAAGTCTCATTCTTGGATGACACAAACCATTAAGATCATCCATCTAAATCCATGGCTTTAATACCCCTTGCCCAACAACCTTCTGGTTTTAATTTTACTTCCAAAATAGATCTTCCTATAAGAAGAAAATACGTTGATCCCTGCCTCAAGCATACTGGTGTGCTTGGCACTTATACCTCTAATTCTAAATTTAAAAGAAAGAAATTAAGTATTTCTGGGCCATGGTAATATATGAGGCAACATGGTAATGAGAAAACAGACCCTAGGTTCTCTGTCACTGTGACCTTTTAAGCTAATCAATCATATTAGCTGAGGCGCCATTTCCTCGTGTGGCAAGGGGAGAAATTCAGTACATCTCTGATACCCTTCCAGCTATAATAATTCAAGGGTTAAATATAAGAAAGTGTTGAGGAGGTCATATGTCTACCTTTGGCTTTCTTGGTAGCAAAATGACGGGATGGTACAGCTGGATGGGCCATGCATTGCCCATGGTCGTTTTGCTTTCCACTCACTGTCTTCAGTCTAACTTCCGAAACAGGTCTGGTCAAGGCTGCAAGGGAGCTGGAAAAGGCAGGGCGGACCAAGCGGAAGCACTTTAAACCCAAGGCCATGACTGAAGCCTCTGTGTGAACATCTACTAAAAAAAGTGAGACAAAAAGATCTAAGTAAAACAGACTCTATTACAATTTCAGGAAATAATTTGTACCCATTATCAAATAACTCCTATAAACTAAGCTATGTGCTAGACAATTTAAATACATTATCTTTAATCCTCCTCCCAATAGCCTACAAGGAAATATTGGGTTGGCCAAAAGGTCAGTTTAGCTTTTTCTGTTAACAGACAAGACGTATTTTTCATTTTCACCAATAACTTTATTGATTTGGATATTTTGAGTATGCCATCTATATCTCAAGTGGTATAATGTTGATTATTCTCAATTAATGTCTCAATTTGATCGCTATCGACCTCAACTGGTCTACCCAACCGTGGAACATCGCCAGTGAGAAATCTCTAGCACAAAACTTCACAAACCACTTCTAACATACTCGATCAATCACAGCACCTTTTCCATACAATGCACAAATCATTTTTGCATTTCAGTTGTGTTTTTATCTTTCTTGAAATAATAAACTGTAATGTGCCGAACAGTGTTGCTTTTCTTCTATCTTCAATATTAAAATGGTTACACAAAAATTCACCAATTTTGGTTTTATTTAAATGCACGCTGATATGACATCTGTCACAATTACAGTCTAACAAAATTGTTCCAAATGGAGTTAAAGACACTAAGCACTACTACAGCCATCTCAGGAAAATACCAAACCAACCTTTTGGCGGACCCAACACGATTAGCCCCATTTTACAGGAGGAAGAAATTGAGGCTCACAGAGATTTTGGTAACTGGCCCAAGCCTGTGGGACTCCAAATCACCACGCGCTTTCCACTGAACCAAAGGCCTCTTAGTGCACAATTTGCTTAGAGTTAAGCAAATGCACAGCAGCCTAAATCTTTAATGATGCTAATTAAATCCTTGTAGGTGAAAAGGCACAAAATCTTGATAAAGCTATACTATAAAAAGGGAGGGCAGTGCACTGGAAGAGGACTCGAAGCAAGAAAACCATTTCAACAGGCATAAAATGACTGGAAAATTCACGCGACAGCATTTAATTAAAATTTTCTTTGGTTCCTTATGCACTGATTACCAATTAGAATGCACTTTACTTTAATGTGAGTCTGAAGCATGGTTGAGGTTTGAGGTCTTCCATATTATGGAAATAAAGCTCTGGAAAATGCCACCCTTCTCTGTGTTAACACAAGTTACACATTATATTTCTGAGGTATTTGACTATGGAAAGATACTAGAGCCTACAGCTATCTCTGGGATAGAACAGTCCTAGCAAACTGACAAACGTGCTTCTGCCAGGAATCTGGCTATTACTCAGCTGAATATTAAAAACAATTAGCCTAAAATACCTGGAAGTTACTATCTTTGAAAATCAGTCTCATACCTCATTAAAACAACAAAGGAAAACCCCATCCTAAATTTTGATACAGTACAACGGACTTTGCAACCAGGAAGACTTAGAATCCCGTGCCAGCTCCGTCACTGACTAAACGTCCTGATCAACTGTCAAATGGGGGTAATTATAGTTATTCCTTAAGGTTGGGAAGAATAGAGTTTACGTGGCTGAAGCACGTGGCCCAGTGGCTAGCAGATAGCTGGAATCCTCCACAGGGATATCTATTGGTAGCTTTGACACTTTTCCTTTCGAAGACTTCCATGACAGGGTCAGACACAATAAAGAAATTTTGCATGTCATTACTGAGGCACAGGAAGCCCAGGGTCAGTCAGACCTGCATGTAAATTTTAACTTTGGGCAATTCACTCCATTTTTCTGGCCATCACTTTGCTCATCTGCAAAATGAGAAAAATGTCCTGATCTTAAAATGAGATGGCGAGTGTATGTAAAACACCTCGCACAGTGCCAGGAACACAACACCTGCTTAATAAGTTACTATCACTATTTATTTTTTTAAAAAAGCAAATGAGTGGCGCAAAGGCAAATAATTTCTCCTGACGGAATTTTTAATAACAAGGAATGTTAGCTATTAGTGATCAGTGTATGAAGTCAGTAAAAACAGATCTGGATAAAAAAAATAATAGTTTTTCCTCCTCTTCTTTAATTATCAATAGCTACTATTAATTAAGGTTGGGACTGGGCTGCTTGCTTTATCCATATTTTCCATTTAACCTTCTTAAAAATGCTACAAAGAAAGTATAATAATCTCCATATTACAGATGTAGAAACTAAGGCTCAAAGAGACCGCCACTGTCTGAGGGCATGGAGCTAATAGCTCTGCCCCATTTCAGCAAAACTGTTCACAAAGGTTTGGCTCCAAGTGAGGTTTCCATAGCTAGGCTTTTGCCTAATATAGCCACTGCCTAACCCACGCTTATATCCAAATATGGCTGTATAATAATGTGTGGTTTTTGTTTTTTTAATCTACAGGGTCCCAATCTGGCTGCTCCATTTAAGACAGGTTTCCTGGTGTTCCTGCTGCAGGTCATAATACCAATCCAGAAAGCAACAGGAAATCAAAATGGGTTAGAAATAAACAACCTTTGACAGAAAACGCAGCACCCAAAAGCAGACCCAGAACACGTGAACCGGAAAGCCAACTCTATAAATAAACCACATTGCTGAAATGCTTAAGGCGTAGATTTTGATTGCACAGAAGTCAAGAAATTTCAAAGTTGAAGTTCAATAAAGGCAGTCCCTTGGACTGTCTTTACCTTAAGGACATGCATATTAACACTTGGTTCAGCACAGATGAAGTCAAGGAAAGGAACTGTTATGGGAGCACAAATGTTATCCAACAAAATTAACCTATACACAGAAAAAACTATGGCAGGAAGCATCTGGACTTTGGACTGCAGTCTTGGAACTGGAATCTCAGTTCCCCCACTTACTACCTGTGACCTTGGTAGATCATTTAACCTTATTGAGCTAGTTTCCACTGCATCTTTACCACGGTGATATTGATGAGCCTTTAAAAAGATAATTGTAACAATAATGACACAATATAATAGTTATATAGTGATAACTATGCGCCACAAACAATTCTAAGTGCTGTACTGCATACATTAACTCACTGGAACCTTATGATAACCTTCTGAGGTATGTACTATAATTATATCCATTTTATGGATGAAGAAACAGAGGCCAAACATAGATAATTTGCCCAAAACTTTATTTCAGACAGCGCAGCTCCTGAGTCTGTGCTCCTAACCACTACACTATGCTGTGTACATAAAACACTCAGTACAATTATTGGTATTATTATTCAAACTGTTGACATATTTTTTAAAACTACTTGAAGCACATATTCTTTTTCCTAAGTTGAGGTTCTTAAAACTTGAATTTTCCTATTTTTCATAGGAGGTGCATTTTAATGTCAGAAAGAACTAGATGGGAACACAAAGTCTTGATTTATTCACTGTCCTAGCAACCCTTCCCAATCCAGCTGTATATTAGCTTATAATGTACATATTTTATAAATATAGGTATGCACACACACAGGCCCTTGCTGTATATAAAATACTTTCACACAGTGAACAAAATACAGGGCCGTACGGAAAGAAACCTCACAGGGTGATCTAATCATAAATTCTTAACTGAGCAGGCCATGGTATGCAGTCACGCCCCATAAATATACTCTTAACTTCTTTAGCAAAAGGTTTACCTTTGCCTTAACAATCCCTGTCCATTGCTTCTGTGCATCTAAGGTTAACACACCTTTGACGTGCTTCTTTTTCAAAGTAACCACTCTCAAGAGAGTACATCTTTTAAATATAACTGTAATTCAATCCCTGCCTTGCTTTCTCCCACCCTAATGTAATCTTATGTTCCCACCTTAATTCCAAAGGTATAAAGAAACTGCAAACTTTCATTCGCTAGAACACTGGAAATCTTGCTTCCTGGCAATTGTTGCAATTGTCAGTTTTGGTTCAAATAGATTCTTAAATTCTCTAGAGGTCTGAATATTTCTTACATCGACAGCATGGATTATCTAATTCCTACAATACCCAGAGTTGTGACTGTCATCGACATTTTACAAGTAAGCAAACTGATCTTTCATTTCCTTGATACTCCTCCTGCTTCAGGGTCTTCAAACAGGCTGTTGAATCTGTTTGGAATAATCTTCCCCCACCTTTTCAATGAACTATCTTCCATTTTTCTTTCAGACCTCAGTTTAAGCATCACTTCCTCAGAGTTCTGTTTTCCTTGACCATCTCCACCAGCCCAACTAGGTCAAAAGTCCTGCAGCCCAATTTCATAGCACCTATACTTTTTTTTTTTTTTAAAGAACTTTAACAATATTACTTCATATCTGTGCAGTTACTTGATCATGGTCTAAGTCCCCCCATGAGACTATTAGCACTACAAGGACTGACCTATGGTTTTCTTGCTCACAGTTGTATCCCCAGAGCCTAGCACAGTTCCTGGGTACAGAAAACACCAAATAAATGAGATGAATACATGAATCAAAGTCTAGAGAAATTAAGTCCTTGACCAAGGTCACAATGCTGGCACTAGAATTGAAATCTAAGCCTCAGGCAGCAGGTCCTGAGCTTTGCTTCCCACCCCTGCTTCAATTATCTTTTGGTTTGCCAAATTTTCACTTAGAGATGCTAGGACATGTTTTTCTCTGAATTCAGAGCCATGGAAAGTTATTCATAGTACCTGACTATATCATGTCCCTGGCACAGCCAAAGGAGGGATGAGACCCTTCAAAGGTGGAGAAAGAGCTTTGGCCCAAGAGACTGGAGTCTGGATTCCAATATTCCTACTTCATCATTCCCTGCCAACCGTTCTCTTTAGGTTCATTACCACCTTGTATCCAAAAAGCATTTGTGGCAGCTCTACTACCGATTTGTGACTTGTATCAAGTCATTTCTCCTAAGTTTCAACTATAAAGGGTCAGGCCAGGTTTTCATTCTTTACAATTATAAAACTCTCCAAGATTCTGAGAAATGCAACAGAATGTGGTAAAAGTAAAGAGTACCGAACTTAGAGAAGACCTAGAAAAGGGTCTTGGTTCCAGCACTTACTAGATACGTGACCTTAGATAGGTCAAACTCTCTGGATCTCAGTCTGATCTGTAAAAGGTGGATGACAATACCATTTGTCCAGGTTACCGGGTCGATCAAATGAGATAATGGCTGCAAAAGCACTTTGTAAATATAGAAAGGCTGCTGAGATGACAACTGTTTTGCCACTGGACGGCACAGAATAATGGTTAAAAGTTGAGGCTTTGGAATTCAAGCTCCATTAATTACCAGCCACGTGATCTTGGTAAAGTTCTCTCTCAGCCTCCGTTTCTTTATTACGGGAATACCTACATCCATGGTGGTGGGCTACTAAATAGCGGCTACAATTTAGTAATCGATCCCCCCGCCCCAACACATACACCCCAAATCCTAGAAGTTCCTAGCTGATGAGACATGTTCCGCCCCCAACCGGTGAGACCCGCTCCGGTGCGACAGATCCCGCCCCCAGCTTTAAAGGTCAAGCGGGACTCGAATGGAACGTATCGGGGGACCACGGTCAGGTCCCCTAAAATCCCTAAGAAGTCCTTGAATAGAGGTCTCTGGCACCGGGACCCGGCGTGCACCTCCATGCCGTGCCGAGACGACTCACCAGCTATCACCCAGGATATTAAGAAAAGACTCGTGAGCGCGGCGACGGCGGTGACGGCGCTGACGTCATGACGTAACAGGGCGGTGCGGCGGCGCAGGCGTAGTGCGTCATCCGCGGCCTGGCTGCCCTGACCGTTCAGGCAGACGCGTCTTGAGCGTGGTCGACCGTGGGGTCGGAACCTGTTTGGGGGGCATGAGCCGAGGGGAAGACGCCGAGGCCAAGAGGTGAGTCCATGCCCCTGCACCTCAGCGTCGTCGCCGGAGGGCCTCCTAGAGGAGGCTGCCCTAGGAGACGCTACTCAGGCCCCGCCCCGGATTGTCCCGCCGCTGGCCCGGAAATAGCAATCCGAGTAGTGACCCATCGCACCTGGGAACTCGCGGCCTGGATCGGGAAGCTCGGGTTCCAGGCTTGACCCCGCTGTTAAAGTCAGCTTTTAGGAACAAGTGCCTTTGCTTCTTTGCACTTCATTTACCCCAAATGACTACTCCTGATTTCCAGGGTTGTTGCAGCTCAGCTGGGAGGATAGATGAAAAGCGATTTTGTCAGTTCTGTTAACAGTCTTAGGGGGTTGTCGCCCTCTCAGACTCAGAGGATTTTGAGAGTCTCATGCCATCTTGATTTCTCATTGTACTGTACCGTTACTCAAAAAACGCCGTGCTGAGCTCTCACAGATACTCTTATTTAAGCCTCGTAACGACCCATGAGATAGGGATAATTGTGCCCCTTCTAGGAAGAAGGAACTGATGCTCCAAGTAGAGGAGTGGCGTGCTTCATCATTCATTTAGTAAAAACTGAGTACCCGCCGTGAGCCGTGCTGGGATTAGAACCATGATCAAAATAGGCAAGGCCTTGTCCTCTAGTAGCTTACATTCTAGTGAGAGAAACAGAAGATAAAACAGTAAATAACAGTAAATGAATTAGTATTGTATGGAAAGAAATAGGTAATTGTGTTAGAGACCTACAGGGAGCTCACTCTATTAGGGAAAGCTTTTCTGAGGAGAGAACACTTAAGGGAGATCTTGATTTACCAAAGTTACACAGTAACTGGGTGCAGAAACCAGAATTTGAATGCAGATCTTTTGGGCCCATTGCCTGTGCTCTTCCCACTAAAAATGGTACCTTCCTGTGTGATACCATTACTAAGTAGCTATAGATATCATCGCTGTTTTTAGACATGAGAAAATCAGAAGGTCATATCATTCAAGTCTTGTCTCAAATGTCATGCCCTTTAGAGGCCTTTCCTCTCCAATAATTCTAACGTAGTCCAACCCCAGTCTCTGAGTCAAATCGCCTTGCTTAATTGTGTTTGCTGCACTTCTCACAAATTATATCTTGTTTATTTATTTGCTTTTGTTTTGTCCTGCCTCTCTTGCAAATATAAGCACGGTGTGGGCAGAGATGTTGCTTGTCTGCTGCTCTGTCCTCAGTACCTAGACAATGCCTAAAAAATAGAACTTTAATAAAATTTTTTTCTGAATGAATGATATGTAAGAAGGTAGGAGGAAAGGAAAGCAGAGAGGAGACAAAATGCTTCTCCTCCCTTGCTTCCCCTCCTGGGATTCTGTTTATGTCTGTTTCACATTTCTCTCAGGAGGTAAGGCCAAGAGCTATGGCTTATTCATTTCCCCATTGTCAGCGTGTCACCCAGGGGTTAGCAGGTCATGGTTGCTTGTCAGACATTGCAGGACAGATTGAACATGTGAGTGGAAAGGAAGCAGAGTACCCTTGTGTTGGGAAACATCAACACCGTCAACAACTACCTAGGGTCTACTGTGTGTGACTTTATAGTCTCTACCAAGACGATAAGAGGTAATAGCAGTGTTCAATGTATGTCAGCTGCTGTTATCGCGACACAGTTCCTGCGCACTGACCACTGAGGCACTTCTGGGCCCCCAGGACACGTGTTTTCTCTAGCAGGGAGTTCTGAGGTCTGGCACAGTCTGCCATCTTCCCGGCCCTCTTATTTTTTCCTTCTCTGCCACATTATACACCTATTAATGCTTTATTTTATAGCTGGCATCTCATGTTTGGTCCTCTCAGCAACCTTAAGTTAGAAGCAGGGCAAGGTTTGTTATGTAGAGATGAGGAAACTGAAGTTTAGAGAGAAGTGACTTCCAGTGGAAATGCCAAAATTTGAAAAGCCTGGTCTTCAGACACCAGGTTTTTGTCCTTTCCACTACTGTCTCCATTATAATCCCCATCTTCCTTTTTTTGTCTGTGAGATGAGACATTTCAGAAACTAAGACTAGTAACCATTTAAGCTAATATTAATTGAATGCTTCTTAGGTGCTTTAGGTGTATTGACTCAGTGAATCTGAACAACTCTTATGAGTTACTATTCCCATTTTACAGATAGGGAAACTGAGACACAGAGTGGTTAAGTAATTTGCCTAAGGTTGCAGAGCTGGTAAATGGTAGAAACGGAATAACTAAGGAGGAAGGTAGTCCCTTCTCCCCAGTCTCTCAAAATATTAAACATGATAATAGCTCATGTGTATTGATTACTGTTGTCAGATGCAGTGTTTAGTAATTTTTTTTCATACACTATCTTTCATCTTCACAGTGGCTCTATGAGATAAGAACTGTTATCTCCATTTATATAAATGAGGAAACAGTGGCCTAGAATGTTCAGGTAATTTACCAGGTCACAGAGCCTGCTTTCAAACGCAGTTCGAAACTCCAAAATCTATGATCTTAAATTTCCTATATTGCCTCTTCCATGGAGAAGAGAAGTGCTAGCTAGCGCTCTTCCCTGCCCACCTCGTTCAGTGTCATTAAGACTCTCTTTCTGGTAGTTTCCAAAGCTTATTTTGAGTGATAGTTGTTAAACTGGAGCATCGTGTAGTAATAGAGACTGTAGAGACTTTGGCCTCCTGCCCAGTCAGCCTCTGGCTTCACAATGGGAAAACTTTAGTTTCTACACGCACAACCACGCCCTTTTCACCTTAAATGGAAGCTTTTGCTTTCTGGCTGCCAGAGGAGCTGTCCCAAGGGACTCGGTGCTGGGGCCCTGGTTGTGGAAGAACTGAGGCCTTTGAAGGACTGCCCAGGGCATGCCCTCCTTGAATAAATGTTTGTTGAACTGAATTTGAAGTCTCATATTCACACATTGTTGCTTTTCTTCTGCCTGAATGTCCACATTTCCTGTAGTATTTTATAGAGATTGATGGAAGCAGAAACCAAAACTCTTCCCCTGGAGAACGCATCCATCCTGTCAGAGGGTTCGCTGCAGGAAGGGCACCGGCTATGGATTGGCAACCTGGACCCCAAAATCACGGAGTAAGTTAGAGTCGTCTTGACTTACTACCTATAAATTGGGATTTTGCTGTGATGATGTTCAGATGCATTTTCAAGGGATATAGGATATATTTTGACTCATTTGCTTACGTTTTAATTGTTTTCAAAGGGAATGTGATATTATTAGCCTGTCATCCTGTCATCTTGACATTTTTCTTAGATTTGGACTCTTATACTGCAGACAAACTTGAATAGCCTTTAAACTGTGTACTTTTTTCCTACTTGTCAAAGATGTTCTCCTCTTTTCAGCTATTTGAATCCTTGTATCCAGTGACCAGGAAATTATTTTCTAGAATGAGCCTTGGACATGATTCTCTCAGGATGAAGGCACAAGTGGAAGAGTACCTTCACAAATACGCAGCACTTGACTCTAATTCATGTTAAGCAGCCATTGGAGGTCAGAGCTGAAAGGGATCTTAGCAATCGCCCCAGTCCCTTTTGTTTTCATTCATGCATTTAATGTTTCATTTAAAGTTTTCATGTAATGAATCAGTGAAAACCAACTGGCCCATGCTAAGCAGTTCTCATACTTTTAAAATCTGAAGAATCTTGTCTCAGAGTAATCAGAGCTTACATATACAGTACAAGCTCAGAGCTGCTCTGATCGAAGGGGAGAACAGGCACGCCCGAGGCCTGTTGGTAGCTGCTGCCCTTTCTTTAGCAGTCACCTGTGGGACTCCGTGCAGCCCACTTGGAAACCTCTGCTATGTCCAGCTTCCTTACCCTGCAGAAAGGAGACCGAGGCCCAAGAGGTGGAAGTGCCTTGCTCACCACCGTCCCAAAACGAATTAAATTGTTTTGACTTCCCACGCTTTCCATTGCAGGTGTTACAGTGGAAAGGCATTTCTTAGCCCAGAGAACGGGGAGGTTTTTCCTACCCCTAGTTGTTCAATAGGGGCAGGGCGGTGGTCAGCAGCAGGGTAGTAAGGGTGAATGGATTGAGCCGGGTGGGGACGATGCTTAAAGTAAGCATGGAGGATATTGTCGGTCCTAGAAGGGACTCCCTTTGTAATAGTGTTAAAAGGCAGGGGAGAAGAGACTAAGGGACCTACAGAGTCTGGGATAAGAGGAGGTATATAAAGGGTTGGAATTAAGAGACAGAAAAAGCAATGTAAACTAATGTATCATGACAGAAAAGGTTCGTCCCTTAAAGCGGCTCAAGCTCAGATCAGCTAAATGTAGATACTGCTGGGTCCCTCTGGAAATTATGATGGTACTTAAGATGCGTTACTCCTGATTATGTGACTTTGGTCATGAGGGCCCTAAAATACAGGCTGTGCATCGATTTGGTTCTCTTTGTGCTTCATGGCTCTGAGGATGAATGTGTAAATCGGCCCAACCTCTCAGTTAATGTGTGTTGATCACAGAAACTATTTCCATCATCTAAAACCCAAACCGTGAGGGGTGCTCCCAGGAGTGGTTTCCATCCCCCTCCTTGCCTGTCTGAATGGAAATCTGGAGCCTGGAAACAGCGCTCATTGTTTCGGCTGCAGTTCTCTGTAATGAGACCCTAGTTCTAACGGTGTCCTGCTGCTTGACGGGAAGGTTCAAATGGGCATCTGCCACCTCAGTTGATTGTCGTAAGATGGAGTATATGAATGTTTTCTTCAGTTACAGCGTCAATAGGAACATTGAATCAAAACTTTTCCACTGGTTCTCTGTTGTTTTTTTTGTTTTGTTTTGTTTTACATCAGGCTAAAGGTGGATGACAAGTACTAACCTGCAGGTTGGGGCCTTGGCCGGGCTACCTGTGGCTGCCCACCTCATCACCAGAGATCGTTTGTACCCTTTCCTCTCTGGATTTCTTGTGTTAAAATGTTTTTTTTCTGTGAAACAAACAGATTTATTAAATAGTAATAAATTTCTTTTTAAAGACATAACTGCCAGTCATAGCTTATGATCAGCATGAAATGCTTAGTACTACCTCACTTAATTTACTTAATTAAAGCAACGAAAGCTAACACTTTAGTATGGTAGGTCTTATAGAAATATGTGATTTCCTTCCAAGTTTTTGAAGCATATAGACTTGATCTTGTTCCTCCCAAGGTAGGTAATAGCCTAGACTGATTAATAAAATGCAGTCATTCACAAACATTGAAGGGAGCACATGGTAAAACTTACGTGATCCTGTGGTACCTGGCGTATACTCCAATTTCAGAGAGTGTTATTTGAATCCAGACCTCTAAACTTCTCATGAGTCTTGACAGAAGTTTGCAGAGCACCCTCCAGTTTTCTCAAACTGACACCCCGCCAACAAATTGATACTAGTTCCTGCTGTTTCCCATTCAACAAAACCCTTCTTGTCTCTCTTTCCTCTGCCGATTCATATGCTTTACCATCCCTCTCGCTGATCTCTTTTATACGCTGATATGAATACCCTCCTTTAGAAATGCTTTCTTACCACTTGTTGGAAGACAAATTATAGTATGTTTTTACTGTCATGAATGATTAAAGGAGTGTGTAAAACAGCAACAGTTAAAAACCTTTCCACTCAGTTTTTTTGTAGTAATGCTATGTGTGTGTGCTTATTATTAATCTGAGTTGTGCTCAAGTTACGGTAGGATATCCGTCAGTCTCCTCTCAACAGCATACGCATTGCTAACCCGCTGTCCATCACCCTGACCTTCTGCTCCTCGTTTATTTGTGTTCACTTGGTAGTCGCAATGCTGCCCATTTTAGGGCCATGGTAGAGGCTGGAAATGTCTGAAGGACTAAATAGATCTTGGGGATTTTGATTGAGGTGATTTAGGGGAATGATGACATACTCTTATTTATGGAGGTAGCAGATTTCCAAACCCATGTTCTTTCTACCGAATGCTGATTCCTCTTAACTACATTATACTTCATATTTCTTACCCACAAAGAGAATATTCACCTAAATGATCTGAATGTTTCTTCTAGCTCTAATATTGCACTATTTCCTCTTATTTAAGCTTGAACAACCTTGTGAAGCAAGTGGAATAGATAATATTTTCCTTCTTTTATAGAAACAGTTGTGAGTTGATTCAGTTTCCCACTGCCTGGTGTAGTGCTCTTTGCACAAATAGAGTAATAATTATGATAGTCTACATAATTGAATAGTTATAACCTAAAGCATCCTATTCTAAATTTCTAAATGTAAGGACTTCTTTTAAATTATGAGATCCAATCTAACTGTAAAGTTAAAACACCACCTCTAAATATCATTACTAGTGCCCTCATGAGAAAAGCCGAAAAGTTCATATCCTTAGATACTGTCTGTTTTCCATACTGCAGTTTCCTCTAAAAGAGTGAATACTGCTTTCTTTTTCAAATATTAGATGTGCTATGTAGAAAGCCAAATTAATAATCAAAGCATATGCACAAGGGGAAGCACAAACAGGAATAAAGCCAGGAGAAATTCTAAAAGAAGGAGCATTCTAAATGGATAGTGAGTCATAAAGAAAGGTAGTAATACGAGAGATTGTTGTGTGAGCAGAATATGTGGAAGGCCTTTGTGACTAAAGGAGAGGTTGAGTACTAAATGATAATGAAAATAGTTGGATACTGTCAGATTAAGACAGCCTTTAAAATTCATTCAACCGAGTTTGAATTTCATGTAGAAGAGACCCACTGTGGGTGTTTAGTAGGAGGCTGACGTCATGCAAGTGATGTTGCAGTAGGGTGTTAGACATCCGTTTGAAGGATGAATTGGAGGGAAAAAGACTGAAAATGAAGATTAGCTGCAGATCTGCCATTATATCACCTAGATAGAGACAGTGAACTTGGAGACCAGTGGTGAGTCAGAGACGAAGAAGAAGTGATTGAAGAGGAGTGGAGAGTTAAGATGTTTCTTGCCTGTGAAATGTAAAAGAACCTTGTCCATACCACTGGGAGAGCTGGAAAGGGGCGTCCATTTGTGGAGGGGAGGAAGTCATTTCGGGGTATATTGAGTGAACTTGGCAGCAATAGAGAGTCATCCAGGTGGAAATGCCCTTCTGATGCAGACTTTCACAGATAAACTAGAATGCGTGGAAGAATAAACGGAAGGAAGAATAAACACATTGTAGGAGCAGTGTGTTTACCTCTGAAGAAACCCCTTTGTCTCTGTCAGCCCATCCCTTCCTCTTCCTTTGTTTCCCATGCCGTTTTTCATGGCTTGGCTTGCATGAAACAGCCTTTATTGTTCACTTACTTAAATTTGAAACACAGTAAGACCAGTCTATTTACATACAGAGCATAAAACATGAAGTCCTACCAGATAGCAGTTTCTATAAGTTTAGAAAGATTTCTTTAAAACAAGTTGCATGCTAAAATCATCTGTAACATCATTTCATTGGCTTCCCATTGCCTATGGTACCAAAGTAAAATTCCCTCACTAAGCACCCCGCTTGTTTCACAACCTGTCCCCCTGCCTGCCTTGCAACCTTATCCCTTACTGCCACTCTCTTTGATCGATCAGACTGTTTTTCACATTGATGTCTGTGCACTTGGCATTCACTAACTACCACCTTCACCTTCACGCTTCCCTGTGTACCTCTATGTGCAGGCATGACATTGTTTTGTAATTGTTTGATTGCGTATCTCTTCTAACCGGAATGTGAGGTCCTTGAAGACAGGGACCTAGTTGTATTCATCTGGATAGTCCAAGTGCCCAATACAGTTTTGACACATAGTTGTTTAAACATTTGTATAGGTTAATTACTTATCTGGGTAGGGCGAAGAGGGGACTGGATGAAAGACGGTGAAGGGATTAGCCAAAGAATGTGGACGCATAACCCGCAGACGCAGAGAACTGTGTGGTGATGGCCAGAGGGAAGGGGAGGCGGGGCTGGGTGGAGGCAGGAAATGGGGACATCTGTAATAGTGTCAACAGTAAAAATAAAGAAAAATAAATTAATTGAAAAATAAAAAAGAGGGCCATTTTAATGACCCATTACAGAAAACACTGATTTAAGTGGCTGGTGTAGTGATTCGCTGGCTCCTGGTGGCTGCAGGTCCACATTTCCTGAGGCACAGCAAGGCTCTGATGAGCGGTGAGCTCTCCCTGTACTTCAGCAGCAGATGAAAGTGCTTGCAGATGTGAAAGCAAGAGTCTTTAGCCTTTTTTCACTATCAGCGCTTGCAGTCCCCATCTCCAGGAAGCAAAATAGTAAACATTTCATTCCTTTTGTTTCGGTGTTCCGATAATTTCAAGGAATTATCAAACAAGAAAAGAAATCCTGGAGAAGTTGAAAGACACAGACCTAAGCAGATGTTCCTGGAATCTTAAGGTCGCAGTTCTCGGGCAAAACGTGAATGTTAGCTTTTCAAAGAATAATCTGTTGGCATTTTTTTTCCTGAGTAAATTAAAATTCATTTCCTAGGAAATGCCGATCGCCTTACCTTCCTGCTATTAAGCAGAATAGAGCTAATGAGAAGATGACCAGCCCACAGTAGCCCTTTAGATTGTTTAAAAAACAAAAAAACGGTTTGACCCGCCATTCATGGCAACTGGCACAGTGTTATGGTTTGAATGGGTGTAGTAAGTGAAACACAGCTGTGAATTAAAAACATTGGGGGAGACTGTTAGCCCATCTGTCTTCATTTCAGAGACTTACCCTTGCTGTTCAAAAAATCAAGTAAAACCAGGAATTTGTGCTTGAGGTGTCTCCCTTTCCACTGACGAATCACCTCCTACATTCTCACTTGCGGTTGAGGTCTCCTGATGGGAGTTGAGAATTGGAAACGAGAGGGTTGTTTTTTATTTCAACATAGGTCTGAAGACCAGATGAATATCCACAATATGCCTTGGGATCCTTGCATCCTGCCCCGGTAAAAGACCTGTATTGTGTCTTCCTTGCTCCAGTGTGTCAGGCACCCGATCCAGGATAATGGGCTTGCTTGTCAATGTATGTTAGTGTCAGATTTAGTATAGCTTATGATCCATTTCATACCTTTGCGCCTCCCAAAGGAGATTCTTAGTCAAGAATAAAATCTTGATGCGTTTCTCCTAGAAAACAATGTGAATATAAATGTGGCTGTAAGCACAGCTTTACTGACTCCCTGTGGGTTAGAATTCCCAGTAATAACAGATTTAGCATGTGGCCTGATACCTTTTTAGTATCACAGGGACAGCATTGTTTAGAGAAAGCCTTGACTCCGTTTGAATAGTGCGGAGGAAGCCAGGAGGAAGGCCAAAGGAAAAGGAAATGGGAGAGCTGTTGGTTTGTCTCACCCTTACATCAGATGACAGGAAGTCGGAATTGAGATTGACCACAGCAACCTGTTAAGGCCACATCTGTGTGAATAACTTAAAAGCTCTATGGAAACCAAGTAAGTTTTAGAGAAAGGAATCCAAGAAGGGAATGAAGGGCAGAGTGGCAGGCAAGCACTTGGAATAAATTTCTTCCTGGGACATTTCTATTCTTTATTCGACCACACTCCAGACTATAAACTGTGGTAAGCAGCTGAGACTGGTTAGTTACCCACAGCTGGATGGTTTATGAACTGGCCAGGATCCCCTCCCCTGTGTGAGACCAGCCTCTGTCACATTGTGGTTCCATGTTGTCCTGATGTTCAGTCACATCAGGGATTGAAACTCAAGCACGTAATAATGGAAGTGCCACTAGCTGTGACTTGGTTTGGGGCACAAGTGCAATTTGGGTGTAATGACTATGAAACCTAATAGGGAAGTCTTTCAGGATTATTTTGTTTGTGTGAATGTATATGTGTGTGTTACTCTATTTTTGAGATAGGGTAGGCTTTGGCTTTTGAAGTGTGGGTGTGTGTTTCTGATGGAGTTGTAGTTATTCACAAATACTATGTCATTGCCAAGAAATTAAAAATAAATAAATCAACACTATTTTTGAGCTTTTCTCCAAAAGAAAAACAAATGGTGCTTGTGGGCCAGACAGCTGTTTGTTAGGTGTGGTTTTTTGTTTGGTATTTTTGTGCTGGACAGATGCATAGCCATGACAATTCTAGTTCTCATTCCAAATAGAGGCAAACAACTCTGTTTGCCAAATAAACTTAACACAGCAGTTTGGAGGAAGGCAGGGGGCGGGGGCGTGAGATTTTATCCCTGGGGTAAATGTCTCCTGCTTTTATCTCACACTTCAGGCTCAGTGGCCAACATACTCCCAGAGTGTACTCATGGCTGTTCTTTCTCCACAGATACCACCTCCTAAAGCTCCTCCAGAAGTTTGGCACAGTAAAGCAGTTTGACTTCCTCTTCCACAAGTCAGGTGCTTTGGAGGGACAGCCTAGAGGGTACTGTTTCGTGAACTTTGAGACTAAGCAGGTAATTGAACCTTTCCCCCTTTCACGGTACTTAGGCTCTCTCATGAGTATCTGTGCACGTCTTGTAACTCCTAGAATAGCAGTTCCTTGCGGGCAGGAGCCTCGCCTGATTCATCCCTGTGTGCCCTGCTCTGAGTCCTAAAGGAGATCCTCGGTAAACAAATTAATTAGTGAGTAACTTCTAAAACCTACCCTCCCTATAGGCTTGCGGACGCAGGCGGCTGACCTACTTTTCTGATCAAATGCTTCAGGGTGCCCACATTAAACACATGGACATCCTCCTCCCAATTCTGTTTTGTTTCTTTCCTTTGGTGGCTGACCAACAAAGCCTCCTTTTCTTTCAGTAGTTTTGCCCTGTGGTGCAGAAGCCCTCCCTGTCTGTGGTGAGCCACCCACAAACTCTTTTATTTTAATTTCTTAAAAGTTTACCCTTCTTCTCTATGTCTCAGAATAAATGCGTACAAATTTGAATACGCACGGAGGAAGAAAATGTCCAGCCTTACTCATGATATGTACATGTATTTTAGTATTCTCTATGAGTTTTATGTGAGAACATTGCATAGTTACCATTTTGTTAATAATAATAATTCTATATGGCTCTGACTGGTGTAGCTCAGTGGGTTGGACGTAGTCCCACAGACTGAAAGGTCACCAGTTTGATTCCTGGTCAGAGCACATGCCTGGGTTGCAGGCCAGGTCACCAATTAGGGGCATGCAAGAGGCAACTGATTGATGTTTCTGTCGCCCATCTATGTTTCTCTCCCTCTTTTTCACCCTCTCTTCCCGTCTCTCTAAAAATAAATAAATAATGTTAAATTTAAAAATAATAGTAATTATATTTGGATTTTTTATTATAACAGTAAATCATGTTTATTATAGATGAAAATACAGATAAGTGACTTATCAGCCTGATACCCAGAAATAATCATTGTTAATATTTAGTTAGGTATCTTTCTAGTCTCTTCTTTCTTCACATTCTCACAAACAACACAACAGCCCTGGAAGACTTAATACCTACACATATATAAACATAGGTATGGCCCTGTAACACATGAATGGGATCATATGATCCTTTGTATCACTCAAAATATACTAAATTTTTTTCTGTCTCCTATATTCATATCAGTATTCTGTGTCATCATATTGTGGTTTCACTGGTATAGATATAAATATGTAAAAATTCATTGATCTATATCTTTAATATTTATACATTTTATTAGCTGTAACTTAGACCTCAGTTTAAAAACTAATCAACAGGATTTTTTATGACTGCATAATATTTCATTATATGACCATGTGAGAAGTTATTTGACTAATTGTTAGCTATGTAGGTTCTCCGCAGTGATTCACCAGTATAAGCAGTGCGGTGGTGAATATATTTATACTCTAACTATGTGCATATTTACTACATTCAGGAAGATGGAGTGGTATCAACAAAGTTCATGCATATTTTTTTCTCAATACAACTGCCAGATTGTTGTTAAGAAATAATGTGTTAGTATGTTCTGAGATGTCATTTGTCCTGACCAGTGTACTGGGGATTTAATTTTTGCAGCTGCGATAGGCAGTAAGTAATACATTGCTGTTGTAATTGTTTCAGCTTTGGGGGAAACTGAAAGAATGCCTGATGTGGTTAGCATTTTTAAATGCTTTATTCTTCCTCAGTGATAGAGTGTGATGAGGACTCTTACAGACAACAAAGTCAGTGGTCATGTTAGGAAGAGATACTGTTTTATAAACACTGGACTAGAAGTCACAAAGCCTAACTGCTATTTCTGGCTTTTTTACTTAACTAACTTTAGGCAAGTCTTTTAACCTTTTTGGCCTCAGTTTTCATCTAAAAATGGGGATTAAAAACCTACACTCTTCTTACCTTATAGGAAGTTGAGAGACTAGGTAAGGGTACATGTGAAGACACAGTTGGCATGTAATAATAATGTTGACTACAAGAACTTTGAGACAAGGTACATAGATTGGAAATTATTTCCTAAACCATTTGTCCTGTGCCAGCAACTTATTGCTGATGTTACAGAATTAATAGTGTCATGTAAATTCTAATTCACTAAATGAAACTTGAAAGAATAAGATGTCTCTTTTATCTATCCCTTAAACTTTACGTGCTATAGTGAAGCAAGGATGCCAGTGACTATTTAATATCTGGCACACAGCATGCACTCAGTAAATGTTTGTTGAAGGTCATACTGGCCAGCTCCAAAGGAATAAGACACTCTCCGGTAAAACCAGACTGGAATGCCTGCTGGTCTTACACTGAGGTCTCAGATAGACGGTCTAGTTTCTCTTCTTGTTCCTTAAGGGCTTATTCACCCTCAGTAAATGTGGGTTTCTCTTGGCCAAATGCCTCATGGGTACAAATGGAGCAGAGAAGGTTTGGCAGGATGGGAAAGTACGGCCAGGCTTCCTGGGAAGGTCCTAGAATGCCTGTTATCCAGCTTCAGGAATTCCTTTCAACCTTGTTGCTCCTGTATCTGATAGGGAAAGGGCCAGGGGACTTCTGGCTCTGAAAGCCAGGTGCACAGATTGGCTCACACAGATACCTTGCTCACAGTCTCTGACTCACTCCTGCTTTTTCCGGCCTGGCTTTCTGTACTCCCATATACATCCTTTGAGGCCATTACTGTTTCTCACTTTGGACCAGGGAGTATGAGCCCTAGTCCAGGATACAGTTCCAGGGGGAGTACTATTTCTTGACCTAGTAGATGCTACCCTAACTAACAGAAGTATGTAGAAAGCTGTCACCTAATCAGAACCAATAACTAACATTGGTTCAGCGCTTCCCATATGCTCCATGCTTTATATGTACTCTTTCACTCCTTATAGCCACCATCAAGGAGCAAAAAAATGTTACCCATATTTTACAGGTAAAAAAGCTAACATTCAGAGGGATTACCTAACCTGCCAGATACTACACTGCCATTAAGTGCCAGAGCCAGGATTTGAATGTTGGTTTGACTGGTGTAAAAAAAAAAAATCTCATACCCTCTTTATTATTCTGCTTTTTTCCATTATAATCTTCTTGCCAATTGTTTGCCAAAAGCAGTTTGGGTAAAAATTTAGCCGTCAGAGCCCGTGAGGCCCTTGCAAAGGCATACAGCTAGTTGGGCATTCGGATTTTTGACTAACTGTAGTCCCTTTCCCGGACAGGAAGCAGAACAGGCTATCCAGTGTCTCAATGGCAAGCTGGCTCTGTCTAAGAAGCTGGTGGTGCGATGGGCACACGCTCAGGTCAAGGTAAGTTTGACACGCTAGAAAGACAGCCTCAGCTCTTCCTGACCAAGTCTTCCGGGAGACAGTGGGCATCCGCTTACCCATTTGCATCCCAGCCTCTTCACATCTGGAGCAGCCATACTTTGGTCTCCTACTTGTATTTACCATGTGTGTTGGCAGATTTTTCTTTTGAGAAACATCTCAGGAGGGATTAAGTTCCTTCATTGTTTTCCTCCACATACCCACAGATTCTGTTTTTGATTGATTTTTCCATGTGGCTGATGTGTATACTCAGACCTCTATCTTTTTTTTTTTTTTTTTCTTTTTTCCGTAGGGTGGTTCTTTGCAGGGGAAAAAAATGTATTTATTTTTAAAATTAGTTGCTTTGGGCATTATTAGGCTCTCCCCAGCCTCTCAATTCTGTGAAGAGTTCGAATGTTTATTCTAAACGCTTGAGACATGGGTAGTTTGCATGAGTGCTCTAAACACTGGCATCTCATTACACCAGTTATTTTCAGAGTTATTTTTGGGACTTTGCAGTGTCTGTATTGTCTTCAAGGCCTGAGAAGTGGCACACTGCCTTATTCGTCTTGTAGGAAGTCTCTTGGGAGAATGCACTGGAAAAGCTATGACCATTAAAAAAATGAATAGCCTTCTGTCCTAGCCAGCACAGAGGTGGTGAAGTACGGGGACTGGAGTAATCCCAAGTGTTGATACCCTTCCTTCTGCAGTGAGGTCTTGGCAGACCTGCCTGCGAAAAGATTTGTGACAGTTAAAAATGGAGCTTCAATTTTTAGCTATATATAGCCTGGGTTTTTGATCGGAGACTCTACCCAGTAGGCTTCCCAGTCGAGTCAGAAATTAAACATTTGAGCACAATGTCCAAGCTAAAAAAGCTGACACTTTGGATTCTTATAAGTATTTCAGGTAGTCAGTCCCAGAGTCTTTTCAATTTCTAGGGCACTTTACCTTGAAAATAGAAACAACAAGGAGAATTACCAAAGGCTTTTTTACTCAGAAGGAAATCAAGTCTGCCCTGGCTGGTGTAGCTCAGTAGATTGAGTGCTGACCTGCAAACCAAAGGGTCACCGGTTTGATTCCCAGTCAGGACACACGCCTGGGTTGTGGGCCAGGTTCCTGGTTGGGGGTGTGCAGGAGGCAATCGAACTATGTATCTCTTGCACATAAATGTGTCTCTCCCTTTCTTTCTCCCTTCCTTCCCCTCTCTCTAAAAGTAAATAAATCTTTAAAAAATAAAAAATGAAACAGAAAATCAAGTCTCATTTGCCAAACTGGCTGTTATTTTCTCATTCTGCATCTCATTGAAAAGGCACGCGAAAGAAACTATTCTTCATCCCTTCTTTCATTTGAGACTCTGCGCCCCACACTTCTCTTCTCCTATGAGTCTTTTTGACCAGAGGCTCCTGATTGCTCTGTCATATTATTTTTACTTTTTACAAGAAGTATGTAATTATCTCACATCAAATTAAACTGCTCTTTTACTGGAGAATATTTGCTGTATCAGTGGCTGAAAGCTGTTACTATTTTTCTTCTCCACTCAGGCCGGTTAAGAGTTGAATGTTATGCTTGGTACTATACAAAAATCTAGCAAAGTTTTTAAGTGTTTTGGATGAAGCAAAATAAATACGGTAAGAGGTGTTATGTGACCGTTAAGATAAGAATGTCCGAAGGCAGTCCTGCTGTGTATCTGTACCGTCTGTGACATTGAAACTTGAAATTGTTGCCTACTGAATAAGGAGGGCCAGTGGCTAGATGGGAAGCTTCTTCTAAACTTTTTCTAAATGTATAGCGTAGTTTTAAGCCAAAACCGTGTAGAGTTCTGCATTAATTCTAAATGTAAAGGCAGTCCTAATTGTCTAGAAGTGCGCCGATGATATATTGATGGGGTTGAAATATGTGAACCCATCCTCTGCAGCAGAGGGCTGATTTCTGTCCAGGTGAAGTAATTTCCCTTTTTCTTACTTTCAGAGATATGATCATAACAAGAATGACAAGATTCTTCCAATCAGCCTTGAGCCATCCTCCAGCACTGAGCCCACTCAGTCTAATCTAAGGTAAGATGGCACACTGTAGGAAAACAAACACCTCTTCAGAACTTCAGCCGTTTCTTCATCCCAAATCTTCATTTGTACTCTAGTGACTCTTCAGATTCTAAATTTACAATAGAATCTACTAACTTTTGACATGTTGAGAGATGTGTTCAGTTAATCTCCGGAATGTATACATGTCCCCTCTTCCCATCCCCCCACCATTTATAGACTTCATTCAAAAAAGACTGGATGTACCTACCACATACCAGCATTTGTGATTGGCAGTGGGAATGCAAAGGTTTATCAGACACAGTCTCTACCTCAAAACTAAGCATTTTAATGAGACCTTGGGCATTTGTCATTACACACTTATTCCTCCCCAAGTGTGAGTTCCTTTATACAAAATTTTAGATTGTAGCACTTGAATTCTATGTACCATTTTAGCAACTATAATAGTTTGGTACTAGTATGTACAAATTGTCAGTTACTTCTTTGGAGTTAATTCAAAACAGAAGGAACTAAGGGTTAGTTAGAGAAAGGGGAAGTTAAATGCATGGTTGAGCACAAGTAGAGTTTTTTGCGGCAGGGGGGGGAGGCGGGGATTGTTTTTTGCACTGTAGCCTAGAGAGATATTTTAACAATAACAATAGCCATGACTTATTGAGCTTACTATGAAGCAAGCACTGTGCTAAACACTTAACATGCCTCATGTCATTTAATTATAAAATTCTGGTAAAAATACTGTTATTTTATGTAAGAGGAAACTGAATCTTAGAAAGGTAAAATATTTTGGCCTGGGTCATGCAGTTAGCAAGTAGCAGAGTCCGCATTTTAGGCCAGTTTTACTGGAATTCAAAATTCAGTCTTTTAGTTACTACTTCAGAAACTCCAGGCTGTAAATGAAGGAATACAGTTCAAAAAGCCTGTTCCAGGGGAGGGAAAGAAGATACGTGAAAGAATGTCAGTTTTTATAAGGATTAGAAATCAACACTCAGTCATAAAGTCAGGAAGGCAGTGCCTATTTGGATGAAGGGCCAGACAGAAAACAAACAAAAAAGCCTTTCTTGAATATTATCTGCACCAAACAACAGATGTACAGGTACCTCATCAGAACATGGGGGAAGGTGATCCTGAAATGTTTTCAGGACGGATAAAGTTGGTCAATTACAACTAATTATTTTTGTTACTAATGTAAGTTTAATATCTTTGGTATTTCTTAATTTTATGCTGTTTGTTGTTTTTGCACTTCCAGAGATTAAAAAAAATTATAGTGACTCCTGTAGATTCGCTGGGAACGTGTATGTACTATGCTGTATTCCCCTAAGGCTGAGTCCTCTCCATTCCGGTTTGGTGTCTGTGTAGGTTTTCATAAATCTGACTCCTACTGGGAAAAGATCGCCCCATTTTTGCTGGGTGATCCTCACAGTACAGTGAATTTGTCTGTAGTGTCTTATTTTCAGTGTTTGTACCTTTTACTAGATAACCTAGTGTTTTCCATTTGTTTTTTCATCCAAAGAAAAAGCTTATATCTTTCTATTAACATCTATGCCTAATCAGAGAAGGTTGTTTCCCTGTGACTCATGCAGGATGGATGCCTGCTAATGGAGGCAGTGCCAGAGTATGTCTTGGTAATACCTCTGTGTTCTTTTATATTGTAACGTAGCTTTTTAATTTATGTCGCTCATATAAAATTTGAGGGTGTGCAGCAGATGCATACCTTTTGAGGATATCTAAAAGGCCATGTGTATATTCTCTCCCAAGTTTCTCTCCGGGACTGTAGACCATGGACAGCATCAAGAGCGGAAAGAAAGGGAGCCAGGGCCAGGAAAGCCCCACTGCCTGAGTGCGCTCTGGTCCAAGACAGCAGTGGCCTGGATCAGAATGGAGTTCCTTCCAGCTGCCGCGGCGCCCCCTCATTCCCGCTGCCACGGGGCTGCTCGGCTCCCAGCCTGGTGGAGAGGGGAAGGCAAAGCTTGGGCATAAACAAATTGGGCTTGAACTCAGGCTCTACAATCTGTTAGCTGTGTGAGCCTGGACAAATGGCTGCCTTTCTGCATTTGATGCTTATCTATAAAATGTGGGCACAGGACCTGGTTCATTATAGGCATTCTGATACCCTTTATAGACACATTTGTCAGTAACAAGAGACTTGATAGGATTTCCAGGATTGCCATTATTCAGTGATACAATGTAATACTTAACTAGAATGGGCTTTGGAATCAAAATTCAACCAGTACCACTCACTGGCTTTGTCTAATATCATCTAAGTTGATCTTTCTGTGCCTTGGTAGGAATATAACCTACCTTATACCATGTTGTTTTCAATACTACATGAATTATTTTTTCCAATTTTTAAGTTTACGGTTCAGTGGTGGTAAGTATATTCATAACATTGTGCAACCACCACTACCATCCACCTTTATAATTCTTTCCATCTTGTAAAATTGAAATTCTGTACCCATTAAACAATAGCCCCTTGTTATTCCCATCTCTTTCCTACTCCTGGCAACCACCGTTCTTTCTGCCTCTATGATTTTGACCAAGTATCTCATATTAACTGGAATCATACACTATTTGTCTTTTTGTGACTCGCTTTTTTCATTTAGCATAATGTCCTCAAGATTCATCCATGTTGTGACATGTTAGAATCTTCTTCCTTTTTTAAGGCTGAATAATGTTTTAAAATGTGTTATGTATCATATTTGGCTTATCTAGTCATCCGCCAATGGACACTTGTGTTACTTCTACATCTTAACTGTTTTGAATAATGCTGTTTGTAAACATGGATATACAAGTCTCTGGTCCAGACCCTGCTTTCATTCCAACGTAAATTATTTCTGAGTGCCTACTACCTGCCAAGACACAGTGTTTGTGTCTTCGAATTAAATGTGACAATATGCAAAGTACTCCTAACAGTGTCTGGGCTTAGCGTAAAGGTTTAACAGGTGGTTCAGGCTTGATCTCTTTCTGAAGATGAGCGCATTAGTCATTCTTTGTATGTATTTTGTCCATGAAATCTTCGAATGTTCCCATTTGAGTATCCTGTTGTGTTTCTAGCATGAATGAGAGGTACAAGGAAAATGAAAAGCGCACCTGCTTTCTGAATGCACCCAGGCCCGCTCTGACCCTCTGCTGTTCTTTTCCCAGTGTCACGGCAAAGATAAAAGCCATTGAAGCAAAGCTGAAGATGATGGCGGAAAATCCCGATGCCGAGTATCCAGCAGCGCCTGTTTATTCCTACTTTAAGCCACCAGATAAAAAAAGGACTACTCCCTATTCCAGAACAGCTTGGAAATCTCGAAGATGATGGCTGTGAGTCACTGTGGCAGGAAAAAAGCGTATTGATCTCCACACCTGAAATCCGTTCTGCCTTTGTACTTTGTGGATGTGACTGGTACTATAATGGAGCACAATCACATGTTAGAGTTTGGTAAAATAACATTTTTGGATGTTCCTATGGATGTTTCTACCCTGAAGTATGTGTGGAATTGAGCATCACCCAGAATAAATAAGATTGTATCCAAAATTGTGATGTGAACACTGGGATGCTCTGGTTGTCTGGTTTGTTTGGATTTGTAACTCCAGAAACACTGTATCGTGTGCCAGAGAGAAAGGCAAACATAAAAAATGTTATTATTTAAATCAGGAAACTAAATTTATTATCGTCTGTCTTAAAAGAAAATAGAACATTTTTCTGGGCTCAAGTGTCTTAACATAAAAGAGACAGGGAGGGAAGTGAGAGATCTTGAGTCATGTTCAGAACTGTCGTTCCAGAATCCACTCTGGAAAGCCCTCCAACTGGACTAAAAAGGAAAAAGTTCCTGGCAAAAGGGAGCTGGTTCTTTGAGCAAGTGTTGTGGTAATCTGTTTAAGAATTACGCGTATTGTTTTAAAATCCCAATTAGGAAAATATGGTGTATATCTTAAAATTGTTTGTGCCAACAAAACTGTAGAATCAAATTTAGCATTTGGTACCACAACGGAAACCCTATTTGGGAATCCCACTTTTATTCTATAGTGATCATTTTTTTTTAATCTAAATAATCCTGACTTCTATAATACCAAATATCATTATTAACATGGGACTTTTAAAATGCACTTAGTTACTGCATGAGATTGTTTTTATAGCATGAGATGTTCTATTTGGAATTGTATCATGGTCAGTCTAAATAGAAAAGAAAATTTTCTTTGAAAACCTAAACGTTTCTATATTGATCTTTATCAATCATCATTAATAATAATTGTTTAGGGGTCTGAGTGGAAGAATTTGGATTATCTTACGTGGGGTGAGCAGGGGACGTGCAGAGGTCACAGTCAGAGGGGCAGGTACTACCCTGGCACCAAGGTGGTAATGACCTCATGTTTTATGTAGTTTTTAAAGGTTTGAAGGGCGGCATGGCTTTAACAGCAAGGAGAGAAAAAGAAGGCGTGTTTATTTGGTAGTGCGACTTAGGAGAGTCCCCCTCAGCAGTGGGGGTCATTTTGGTGCCCGCTGACAGGCCGTGGCCCTGGGCAGCACTGTTACTTCTTTACCAGGTCAATTTTTTTTTTTAATCTTAGGTGCCATTCTTAGTGATTACAGACTTTTTACCATTACCCTTCTTAGCAAGAGGAAGCTTTCACTATAGGAACTTAAGTCGTCCTATGAGCATAAATGAATTTAAGACACTTGATCCAAAACGTCAACATAGTGAGGTTTTAGAAATCACAGGACTAGTTCAGAGTTCTTCCCACATTTCCCAAGGTACATCTTTTTAGATATCTTTAGGTATTCAATACTTCTGCGTTTATTAGCTCTGTCTATGATGCAAATAACTCTCCTTCCACTTGGGGGATAGTTCCGGGAGGTGGGAGCATCATCTCCTATCTTTCTGGTGACTTAGAGTATAGAGTTCACCACTTTATCCGCAAGTCCTCAAGGGGTTGCGGTGGAGTAGGACTTCCTTGATGCAAAATAGTCTTCTATTTTTAATAGGAACTTAGAAAATACTTGACTTTGAATTATCTAGAGTTGTTTCCTTTAGAAACCAGAACTATTTATTTGTATTTAAATCAATGTTTATTATTTGTACCAATTCTTATTCCTCTGTGTGAATAAATGTCAGACTGTGCAGTTGTGTCTTCTCGCATCTGTTTTCTGGAATAAACTGCAATTCTCTTGATAGGCTTGTTTTCCCTCGGGACTTCGGCCAGTGTGGGGGAGGAGGGTGCAGCATCTAAGAGGCTTCTCCGCAGAAGGCTTGGCTCGAGGAGTCCTCAGAGACAGTTCTCCCCACCTTTATGCCTGCCTACTTTTACTGTTAAACATGAGAAAAGAGAGTAGCTGTTCTCACTACGCATGTATTTAAAAAGAAATTGTTGCCCTGACTGGTGTGGTTAAATGGGTTGGGCATCATCCCACCGGTTCAATTCCCAGTCAGGGCACACGCCTGGGTTGTGGGCCAGGTCCCCATTGGGCGGCATGTGGGAGGCGGTCGATTGCTGTTTTGCTTGCACATCGATGTTCCTCTCCCTCTCTTTATTCCTTCCCCTCTCTCTAAAAATAAATAAATCTTTAAAAAAGAAAAACAAATTGTTATTGGAAATCCCTGAACACATCGTGCTGTGTTGAATCCCTTTTTCAAAGTAGAGATTTCCGAAGAATAAGTATGTATGTCATAAATGTGCTGAGAGCAGCCTGGTGAAAGTTTTGTAAAATACAAGTGTTAACTTGTTCAAAAGTTACTTTTACTTTAAAATTGTTTACTGTTTTGCTAGAATTATGTCACATTGTTTTGATTTATACAAGAGTGAGGAATTGAGGGAAATAGGAGAGATGTATGACCTCTTTCTTAATCTCAGCTCCTGGTTTATCGAATGTAAAATGTAACCCTGACCAGCTGATTATCTGCAGTTGGCATCTCGGTTTGGGGGAGGAGGATCCCGTTAGATTTATCAGAGCATGTCAAAATCAATAGCAAAAGTTTTTTTTAAAAACCAAATATCCTGGAGCCCTGTTGTTTATTAAGGTAAGTACTGTTAATTTCTGAGTCAGCAAATAAATCTGAGTTTTAATCTTACTGTATTAAAAAACAGTATCAATTCTTGCCTCATAGATGTTAACTATTTCCGGTAGGTAATCCTCACGTTCCTAGACTAGGACTCGTTCCCATCCTTTTTATCCTCGTTTTTCCTTTTCCTCTCCTGCTTCTTTCTAGTCCTTCCGTAAGTCCTATTGCCCTCCCTTCAGGACACGTCCCGAACGCAGCCACTTCTCGCTGCCTCCAGCACCGCCCCTCTTGTCCCTGCCGGCGCCATCTCTTGCCTGCACGGCTCCAGTACCTTCCTAACCAGCCCCCTGCCCCCCCCCCCCCAGTGCCCCCTTACAGTTAATTCTCTGCCCATCAGCCAGAGCAAACCTTTAAAATCCGAGCGTGTCATCCCTTTCTCAGTGGCTTTCCCTCACACCTAGAAGAAAACCCAGAGACCTGCAAGGCCCTACGTGACCCGTCCCTGGCGGCCTGTCTGACCGGGGAGCCTCCGGTCACTGCCCTGCGTGCGCTGTGCTCCTGTCACACCAGCCTCACCGTTCCAACACGCGGAGCTCCTGTCGCGAGGCCTTTCCATGGGCTGCTCCTCAGCCCGCTCGTCCGTCCCCATCCCTGCAAATGTCAATGATCAAGAGACCACCCGACCCCCCCCTTCCTAAATCACAGCGCTGTCACTCCCCAATCCTTTTTCCGTGTGTCATTTTCTAATGAACACTTACTATTACCCAGTATTTTTTTTCAGTGACAGTTGACATTCGATACTATTTTTATTAGCTTCAGGTATACAGCACAGTGGTTAGACATTCATATAATTTAAGAAGTGATCTCCCCAATCAGTGGAGTACCCGCCTGGTGCCATACATAGTTATTACAGTGTTATTAACTGTTTCCTGTGCTGTACTTCACTTCCTCATGACTGTTTTGTAACTGCCAGTTGTACTTCTTACTCCCATCGCCTTTTCCACCCAGCCCCCCACCCTAAATTATTTTTTCAGTAGAATGTAAGTTTTGTGTTAGCAAGAACTTTTTGTTCACCGTTAAACCCCCAACGTTTAAAACAATGCCTGGTATGCAGTAGCTGCTCAAATATTTGTTGATGACAAATCAGAATCGTGGTACTTGAGAGCTAAAGGGCCTTGAGAGTCTATCCCATTTAACCCCCTCATTGTCCAGATGGAAAAAACCCAGAGAGACAGAGTGACTCGGCCAGGACCACACAGTTAACGTGCCACCATTAGATAGATAGACGCAGGCCTGCGAACACCTAGTCTGGGGTTCAATGCACCAGTAAACATTTGTGCCCTCTTTGTATAACCCACAAAGCTAAGGATGGTTTTTACGTTTTTAAACGATTGAGGAAAGAGCCAAGAATACTATTTTGTGACACGTGAGAATTATATGAATTTCAAATTTCAGTGTCCACAAACAAATTGTTTTGGAGAGTAGCCATGTCTATTCATTTACTTATTATCTACGGTGATTTTTCCATTGCAATAAGAGTTAAGTAGTGCAACAAAGACTACGACTCACAAAGGCTGAAATATGTACCATCTGGCCCTTTGCAGAAAAAGTTTGCCAACCCCTGCTCTGAACTGTATTCCATTAGTGGAAATGTCTTTCTAAACCTTTATGGTGTCAAAAGCTCTGGTATTAAGGGCACAAAATAAAATCAACACAAGTGAAAGAATGGCGTGCGGTGAGTATTGTCACTTCCTCATCACCTCTCCGACCCTTCATATGTCTTTTGAGATAACTGGCTCTCCAAGCCCAGCAGCATCGCTGGACTGAAAAATGCTATGCAAGTGCAGACTGAATCCCCTCGTACGTGTGAGGACTTAAGTAAGGCCCACGAGCTTTGGCATCGAGTATGCCTGAGTTCGACTTCTAGCCCCAGCTGTGTGAGCAGATTAATCAGGACTCAGTTCAAGTGACAAAACCCCAACTCCAACTACCTTACAGTAAGAAATGTATTGGCTTGTGTAACCGAAAAGTCCAGGTGTTCAAACGATATGGTCAGGAATCTGTCTATCTCTTGATTGTGTTTTCCTCTGGGTTGATTTCATTCTCAGACAGGCTCTCCTTAGTGGTCTCTGGAGAGAGACTTGAATCCCAGGTTTTAAAAAAAATGAAAAAGCAAACAGGTCTGTCAGAATGTATCCCAGAGCATGATGCTGTACCTTCCTTCCTGTGCATTTAGTCTCACTTGGCCAGGATGACTGATTATATAGAATGCCATTTTATTTTTGATAATGTCCTGTGACCTTTCTAAGCTAGAAATAGGATTTCAAATGCAGCCTTAAGAATAAAACAAGTTCAGTTTTCCGCTTCTGAAAACAGGCCTCTCCCCACTGAGGAGCTTTCTGGTGGGAACTGCTCAAAAGGAGAGGGATTGACTCTTCAAACATATACTGAGCTGATGCCCCCGTGCTGGGGGTGGAGCGTGGAGGGCGCTAAGGCAAGGTCCCCGTGCGCTGTCACGTGCCAGGATAAAGGGAAGATTCAGGAGCGCCAAAGATGAACCCCTAACCAAGCTGGAAGCAGAGGTGAGGGCGTGTATAGATATTTCCCAGAGGAAGCAACCTGAGCTGAGTGCCGAAGGCTGTTTTAACATAAGCCAGGCAAAAGTTTAAGAAAAGTGTTGGAGGAAAAACAAAGCCCAGTGAAGTGAGAGAGCTGGTCAGAAGAGGAGGTAAGGCATTTCCAAATACCCAGACCAAAGGATAAGCCGGGGGGATGAGGACTCCTATAATTTGCCCGAATATGTGTTACCCCCTAACCACAGGGAAGAGCTTGTCCACCCACACGTGGCGCACTCTCCCAGCTCCCACGTCCTCATACGAGACGTTCCTTCTACCTGGAGAGTCCCTTCTGCACACCTCCATGATCTAACAGACAGCTTCCCACCACCCTCAGTCCCCTCGTGGCAATTAATCACCTCTCTGCTTCTTAAATACCCAATTCTATTTTAGTGCTTAGCACTATATATGTGTGTTTTATAATTTAAAAAAAAGAAAAGAAAAAGATTTTTACTGAAACTAAGATGAGCCTTGGGGACGGGGTGCTTCCCCCTGCAATCAGAAAGCAAACGAGTCAACCCTCCTCTGCCTGTGGAGTTAATCCTGCAGGCTGTCAAATCCCAGCTCCCGCGGCTTCACGGGCCGTCCAGCACTGACGTCTCCAGTTCCTGTCTCAGCTCCAGCCTCTCCTCTGAGCTACAGACCTGCTTATCCAGTCCGCCCGGGCACCTCCACCTGCATAGTCCCCTGGTGCACTGAACCCAAGCTGAGCTCATTATTCACCCCCTCCCGCCGCCCCCCACCGTCGCTCCCATGTTCCATGCCTTTGGGAACAACATCATGGAAATAAATAAATAAATCAATAAATTAGAAACCTGGCGTTATCTTTGACATTTTCTGCTCCCCCACTCCCACGTCCAGTCTCCTAAATGACCAGATTTATATATTAACATTATAGATATTATACAGAATCATATAGTACATATATATGTATTAGTAGTATGTATTATATATGATTCTACATTATATCAAGCTTTATTTAATATGTAAAGGTTATTTAGGAGACTGGATGTATTATCAGTCATATGTATAATTATAAATGTATATAATACATGACAAGTATATAACAGTAAAGTAACATATAATGATTATTTTCATTATATTTTCTTTTTTAAAAGATTTTATTTATTTATTTTTAGAGAGAGGGGAAGGGAAGGAGAAAGAGAGGGAGAGAAACATTGATGTGGAATGAATCAGTTGCCTCTCACATGCCCCCAAATGGGGTCCTAGCCCACAACCCAGCCAAGTGCCCTGACTGGGAATTGAACCAGCAACCTTTAGGTTCATAGGCCAGCACTTAATCTGCTGAGCTACATGAGCCAGGGCTTCATTATGTTTCCTTTCCCTTCTCCTTGTCCCTGCAGCTGCCTCATCCCCTCTCCCCTTCAATTCTATCCTCAAGCCACTGCTTCAGTCACCTTTCCAAAACCCCGATTTGACATGTCATCTTCATGCCTAAGAGACTTTGATGGCCCCTCACCATTTACATTTTGGAGTTGAAATTCCATAGCATGCTCTCCAAGGTTATCCCAGTCTAGCCTATTTTTAAGCCTTATC